AAAATAACACTAGGCTTACTTTATGAGCCCTACAGAAACCCTGCGTAGACCCAAAAATACATCGTGACAGCAACTTCTGTCCTTTACAGGCATCATTTCTGTTCATCTGAATAACAAAAATACTTAAACATGATCATAGAATGTAACTTGCTTAGTTACCTTTTCATTAGATGACAAAAAGGAAAAGAAATCCTATTATTTTGCATCAGTTTCTCCACATCGACTTAAATAAATCTCTTGGGTAAAGACACCGTAGCCTGGGAAGATGATTAACGGCAACCCTGTTTATCAGATGGATTTACATTTTCATTTTACAGAGATGTATTGAATTATTAGTTGCGGACCTCTGTCTCTTGTGAATGACAGCTACTCGTGGTTAATGTCACACATGGGTGTGTTGGTAGAGTATCCGAGAGAGGGAGAAAGGAGGGGGGAGTCTACGGTGGCAGCTGTGGAGGAGATAATCCCTGGCCTGGGCCTTAGCCTCTCAAATAGAAACTCCTACAACTATTGTGGCTCAATCAGATTAAAAAGACAAAAAAGTCTTCAGAGGGAGGGGAGGGAATGCACGTCATTCACAGAAGTGCAATAGGACAGTGCTGGCTCGGCTTGCAAAACAGACAGAGCTCAGTCAGACACAATGCTGCGGTTGTCTCCTCTCTGTATGGTTCAAAAAACTGCCAGCCAAGCAAATATTTTATTTCTGCTTTTCCTCACGGGCTGCCATTCTTTCAGTGCTGAGAGCCACCAGATAGACCCGCAAGCATTTAAGTTCAAATGTCACTCCAAAGGCATGTCGAAGCCAACCATTTTCTCACTGGGCTGTTTTTGATATCACTTCTGAGCACACAGTTTTTCCCTGGAAACAGTCACTATTTTGATATCCAGGCTGGAGGTCTTATGCAATAGTGAGACATTAGCTTTCTTACCAAAAGTTATATGAGAAGATAAATACCACTCTGATGTTTGTACGGTAAATATGAAGCTACTTTAGCTTAGCTTTGTGCAATGATTGAAAACAAGAGGAAGCAGCGAGGCAGGCACAGTCATTTCCTGGAGTCACTGCTCCAGCTGCTCTGAGCTAAGACATAGCCCGGTAGATAACCCACCTTAGATCAGTGGTTTGATGTTTTTACACTTCTGTTTTTGCGCAGACTAAACAAACGAGATATAGCGAGTTAATTAGTGAGCTTTAGAGATGCTGGTGGTCAGATAGTTACCGCTGGACAGAGCCAGACTAGCTGTTTCCTCCCGATTCCAGTCTTTATGCAAAACCATGGTACAGCTGCTAGCATTAGCCTTATATTTAATGGACAGACGCAAGAGTGGGATCAATCTTCTCAGCTAACTCTCCACCAGAAAGCGAATAAGAATATTTCTTAAAATGTTGAACTCTTCCTTCTAAAATGGAAAATGGTTTGATCTGCCACTTACAGAAACACCTTTCACTGGCAAGCTAGTTATTCTGATGTAGAGCTGGGCAATAAAACAAAAATCATAATTATTGCAATAGTGGTGCAGACATTAGACACTGTGCTAGAAGAAATCACTAAAGGTGATTCCATTGCAGTAATGATGATGATGATAATAAAAAGATAAGATGGTTCCCTTTGCTCTGGATGACCAGAATGTGCTTTGCGCTCACCACAGCAATTCTGACACAGCTGTGTCTGTGGTTGCAATATTACCAGTTAAGGTCAGTAGAGCTTGGTTGACCGTGTTTGAGAGGCTGTCATGCCCAACCCTGTGACGTCATATTTGTAGGAAGTGAGGGGAGTTTCTCTGTCACTGATTGCAGCCACCTATTTTGATTGAATCTGATCAGTCAGTTGTTTCTCACATTATCTTTGTTTGTTGTGTTTTACCACTTGTAGTTGGACCGTTAAGTTTATATACAATTGAATACTCATTCCACGTTCTGGTTATTGAACCACATGCTTTGACGATTTCTGTTTATCTGCTAAATTAGTTTGTACAAATCTAACATCTCCATTTCAGACATATCAAGATAGTCAGATTGGTAGTTTTGCTTGGATGTCAGCTGAGTTTTGCTGTACGCTGTAATATTGCAGGTTTCCATACAGAATGAAGCAAGAAACATTTTCAGTTGCTCTAATAAATTAATTTAGTACTCAAATGAAATTTATAGGGAGATAACCCTGGTACAAACAGCGGCTTGTTTTTGAATCTCGTGAAAAAATCACGTAAGCATCATAGCAAGTCACATAAGTATAGGGTGCAGTGGACTGCAGCACATTCTCTATTATTCACATTGATTGTAGACTGTGAAGTAATTATTTAAGGTTACTCAAGTTCACGAGCACTGGTCTCGTTCTCAACAATGATAAGATGCATTGTAATGAGACTTATGATTCATCTGTGATATAATTTAACAGTGAACAGCAAGAGAGATGAGGCTGCTCTGTTTTAGGAGTATTGTATTAATGATTTATGAGTCCTTTCATTTGACTTTATTTGACCATGATGGGTTTGCTAAAAAAAACTCTAAATTTCTTCCTGCTGAAAAAAATGTAATGTACAGGTCATCTACTTCACAGTGTACTTACTAAATAAATTGTAAAAAAGTAATTCATACAGTTAAGAAAGTTTCTCTTTTTGTTCGCTTTCCCTGGAGGGAGGTCAGAGTCAGGGTCAACTGAACGGCAATGCTGGAGCTTTTAAGGGCACTTCAGCAGAGTGGACGCATGCCAACAAGTGGGCTTGAGCCTGGGTGGCGACGATGAAGCATTGTCTCTCTGACTGCTTGGCAACTCTTCTACTCACAATACTGTAGAAGAGCATTTGTACTCCTACAGTGTTTGTTGCTTTTATGTTTGATATAAAGTATATCAGCTGTGTTGTGCATTCCCATATATGGAGAGTGTGTGTTTTGTTGGTGGAGAGTAAAAGGGAGTTTGGAGTTCACAGTATTGTTAAGACATGTTAAGACCCTGACACACAGTGGTCATTGGGTAAGTCAGTGGGTGGCTGCTGCCAATAATCACATGCAGTCTTTGCAACGCATGTATTTGGCGAGTCTTCCCTTCGGCAGTTCAGCTGATGGATGTTGAATCTGTGGAGGCAGTCGTGAAAGCAAGATGACTGACTGACTGATAAACGAGGTATGAACCGAACTGTGAATTTGGTGTATTGTTACACCCCTAATGCTAACAGACCAGTTACACATCAACATGCTAGCATTATCATGCTTAGTACAGCCTCACAGAGCTGCTAGTATGACTCTAGATATTGTTATCCTTTTATAAGCAATAGACCACGAGCTGACAGTGCCAGTGCAAATGTGAGCAGAGAACTGCATGCTGGCAGTCAGCTGGCCTCAAGGCCGTGCAGTGTTGGCTCAGTCTTCCTTTGTAGGCGCTTGTTCTTAAAGGTCGGTTTGGTGTGTCAACATACAGCCCAGAGGCGAAGGCCCTTTGTTTGAGTCTTGGTTCAGACAGCGCCACATTGACTAGCGTACGCATATTCACCCTGTGTGGCCCACATCACAGATGTACCCCAATATCTGTAAGTCCACTGTGTTAAACATACACAAAGACCCCCTCCTTTCAGCCTACTTGCGTTTTTGGTCCAAGGCCACTCCCTGAACCAGTAATGCTGGTCTTGTGCAGGCTTAGCAGCTGGGGTATGCCAGTGACAGCTGGCATTCTGCAGGTTCACTGGAGCAAAGAGACCCAGGCCACTCACACTACACAGGCCCCAGTTGGACAGCTGTCTTGGGCTGGGTTAGTGGGAAATTATGAATTTAAGGGGAAAGGAAGAGGGAGGCAGAGAAGAGAATTGTGATTCAGAAAATCTAGGGTTAGAACATTAGTCTAATATGCACCGAGGATTGTGAACTGTGTTTTTATTTGTTTGTTTTTTTTTCTTTGAATTATGCCGATGAGTTGTGATCAAAGCAAGTGAAATGGCTTTTCACAAACTTGACTTGTGTAATTCTTCAAGTAAAACAGTCATTATTCAATATAGCATTTTGTCTGTCTTGATGAGAGGGGGGAACTTAACACTAGCTTAATGCTAATTAATGCTTAATGCTAATGATTTACTTCAAGCTGGTCTTGAACTGGACAAGTGTTTCACGTAGTTTTTTGTTGCTTTTAACACTTTATACCCTGCTGGTCTGTTGTGGCCATGAATTAGGTTGTGGCCGTGGACTGCTTTTTTGCAACATCCTTCACATGAAGGCTGCGTGACGCAACGCTGCTGCTTAGTTTTCCTCAGAATGTCTAGACTGCAATAAGGATTTCACTGAAGCCTTAGTAATGTTTTTGCTCCTTTGTGTTAATTTGTTCTTTTGCTTTTCTTGAGAAACTGACAACCAGACTATAAATGGTTTTAGTAGAAATGAATGCTCTGCAGAGTTTTAAAATGGCTTCAAATAATCCACACATACTGAGTGACATGGCATTCACCCGAGAGAGACATTTTTAAATCACAACTCAGGGGAAAGAGATAAAGTTATGGCATTTCAAGTTATGAATGGTAACAGCGCTCCTGGGCACCTTTTTAGATGGATCAGCTGCTGCAGCGTGAAGGTTAATTTCTTTCAGCACGACCACACCCTCGCAAGCACACATACACAAAGAGGCTCATGCGTATTGACTAGGAGACACAGTGACGCACCAACACCTGCACTGCAGCCATGCTCTGTCAGACATGAGTGCCCTCACAGCTGTCTGTGTCACTGTGGTGTACTGCTAAATTGCTCTCTGTGGCTAAAGTAGCTGCAGGTCACTGGAGCTATCTTTTCAAGTGTTTGAAATTAATTTGTTAGATTGTGTATTTGCCCGCTGCTCTCCTCTGCTGTTAGTACCAATATTTACCAAGCAGTTCTCTAACATGCAGTGCTTCCACCTCCTGAAGTCACAGGAAATGAAATGGCTTAAAGCCGAATTTAGGAGGATGGTTGCTTTCCCTTACCCTTGTTGATGTTTGTATGTTGCTCTAACAAAACCTCTATCCCTCTTTTTTGTCAACACCAGGTATTAAATGAAGAGTGTGATCAGAACTGGTACAAGGCAGAGCTAAATGGAAAAGACGGCTTCATCCCCAAGAATTACATAGAGATGAAAGCTCACCCGTAAGTATTGTGCAAAGCAAGCTTCTCAAATGTCAGTTTTTAAGGAGTCTTTATGTATCTGTGAAAATGTGACAATCTGACTTCCCGTCATCTGTCTATTTGAGAAAACCACATTTTTACCAGGGCCGTAAACGCAACAGCAGGTCAACGGGTCGCATGTAAGTGGGTCGCTCTACGTTGGGTAGAGCTAAGGAAGCTTCTGACCGGCGGGTGATCGGAGCTGTCTGCCTGAAGTTTGGTTCTCCGCCTAATTTTATAATTAATTGAGGTGTACAGTCAGGTTAGGTAATGCGTTGGTGCAAGTGGCACTAATTTGCAGTGGAGGAACACGTGAATAAACGTGGTGATATCTGATGTAACGTGGACCCGTTTTCTCTTTCGGAGCTGCGACCGACCGACTGACGCTTTATTCACATGTGTTCCTCGCACTGTAAATCTTATTTCTTTTACAGATTTAGAGGTGTTTGAGTGGAACAATTTTGCATTGAACTAAGTTACTTTTATCATCATCTTTTTGGTGCTGGAGTGAGCTCTTGTTGGATGTTTTTTTCCTCTTCCTTGTTGTGAAAAGAGCTGAACTTTCCCAAGAGTATTTTGTTTATTGCTGATTGATTTTGTTCACTTTTTGATTTATTGTTTCTTGAACCAGACCTGCTTTTGTTAAAATATTTCTAACAATATCTTTTCTTGATGGAAACCAAAATTGATTTATGTGTGTGGGATTTTATTCATGTTTTCCTAAAATGTGTTATTTTGTTTTGAAGGTGTATATACTGCCGTCTTATATCCCTTGTGGGTGGGAATAACTCTGTGACGCAACGACTTGTCAGGTTGTGCCCAAGTAAAAATTAAATATCTAAAGTTGTTGTATTAAAAAACCACCATGTTATACAACAGAGATAATTTCAATATATGGAATAAATGTTTTTTCTTTTCTAACTTTACTAAAAAATTAACTTGGGCAGGTTGAGTAGGCTTGAACTACAGCTGCTCTGTGAGACTTAATTGTATGTGATGCCTTGGCTGTGTGTGTGTGTGTGTGTTTTGAACCACTTCAGAGAACACTTGGCAGGATCCTTAGAGGACATTACCTCTGGACCTGCGTTCAGTGCCAGATTAGCTCTCTGTTTATTAATGTGCTCGAGGCCTCTTACGCTTAATTGAATATTGACCTTATTGCATCATTACTGGGTTACTATCAGATGCACCTTTTTTTTTCTGTGTAGGGGGGGAGGACGTCATTGTATTCATAACAGTACTCAAGTGTTGACATAGTGATGGAGGATTTTTATTTAGTGCAGTGTTTTATGCCAAAAAATATAGTAAATACACAAAGGTAGTTAATCATCTCATTATTAAAAAATAATAATATAATCATTCTTAATAAATATTATGAGAAAAATCAGATGCTTTTATTCAGCCTGAATTAATTATCCAAAACATAAACACACAAAATCAATACTGAGTTGTTAAACGTTCGCAGTATGTAGACATATGTAAAAATTGTGGATTTTTTTTTTATTTGAACGACCATGTGACATGTTTGAATATTTATTTGTCAGTATATTCCAGCCCATATTCTCATCAGATTCCATGAGATTTGTGAGGTAAATTTCACCCCTCAAACCGCTCATTACTTTATTATTGCTTTCTCATCAGGGGGTTAGGATGAATCTATTTTTCCTGCCACTCATCCCGACCACATCAAAGTGAGCAGAGTGCCGTTTAGCAGGCTGTGTATGTGCAGGACCTGATATTTCTACGCAAGAGAGGAACTGGCTTGGCACTTCTGTAGTGAAGTAGGGCATTGTGTTGAACAAATGATTTAAAAAAATAATAATTTAACGTAAAATGCTTAAAGTCTCCTCTGCTCGTTGTTTTGTAAGGAGTGCTGCTTTGTGTATTTGCTCTCCATCAGTTGACCGATTAATTGTTTTGTTTGCTTTCTCATGCGCAAGTTAACACGGAAGCAGAGTTTTAAAAGAACATTGAGCAGTATTCTGCGGGGGCTGTTAATACTCAACACTAAAGTAAATATAATACAGCTTTTACTGTGAAATAGCCAGCAGGCCAAATTTCCCAGACTAGATCCCAGATGAAACCCAAATCACAGACTACAGGCTAACAGAGGTTGTCTAATGTCTCATGTTCTTGTTCATAATGTCTCCATTATGTGTTATGTTGTGTAAGTGTTGCCACATCCTAGGACGTCATCAGATGTTTTAATGACATTTTCCTTAACTTTTCCCCTATTGTTCCCACTACACTGTGATCCAGTATAGTGCAGAGCATGGGAATTAGATTTCCATGAAATAGTTTTGCACCTTGTTTCTGTGTAGAATGTAGGTTTACTGTAATTGTTTGATTGAAGAAAACAAACGTGCGATTCATCTGCACACCCAACGTCATCTATGACCATAATGTGCGTTAGCATGTCGCAATGAAGTGCTGCACTCGGTCTAAACTGGAAAAACCTGCAACATCTGGAGTTTTGGAGTATTTTAGACAGACACCTAACAACGTGGTGCTCTGTAAGCTATGCAAATTAGAAATGGTTTGTCACAGCAACACAACCGCTTTGCATGACCGCTACGTACAAACAAGTGAAGGGAAAGCTTCTCGGAGTTCTTTGTCAACACAACAGCAACACGGCACTGCAAATCCTGTTTACTTTGTGTCGCTACACAAGCTCAAAATATCTGGATCTCAACACGAGGAAGGTGTTTCTGTTAGAAGTAATCACAATTGATTTTCTGAATGCTTCTTCATCGCCCCCGGGATAACAGTAATTTCTGCATTGCTGCTGTCATGGTAACGTAACATTACATCATGTGTCCTCTAACGGACGGACGTTTTACATTTCCTGTTTACTTTAACGGCCATGTATGAGTGAGAAAATGGCTTACACTAATCGTTTCTGTTATTTTCTTTGCCCCACATTAAAGCAAAAATGCATTTGCCAGTGATAATCATACTGCAAATAAATCCATGTCATGACCAAGTCAAGTAATACTTTCAAAAGTAATACAGTTCAGGGGAAGGGTTGCCGCACGGTGATTAAATTAATCTGCATGTCACAGTGATCCTTTTGAATTGCATGTCCAGTATTTTTCTGATCGGACTATTATTATCATGACACAGCAGTGACGTGTCTAATGACGAATATTTTTATTTATCACTATTCTAATGTGCATATGTCTCTTTTTTAGGATGATGAGATGTGTTTTTGATATTTCTTTTGGATAAATTAATAGAGGAATAACAAAAATATTTAGAATAATGAAGAAATTAGTCATTAGATTCATCGACTAATGGAAGTAACTGATACAAAAATCCTCGTTAGGTGCCAGTACAGCAACGGTGGTGACGGGGCAAATAAAGTGGCTGCCTTTGTCTGTCCTTGTGGTAACAGCTAAGTGCCATCGGAAAGCACCAGGCACCCGCAGAAACATGCACACACAGCTGTGCTACACAGCAGAGCACACAATAGTGTGCTTTAAGTCAGAGTCCTTTCTGTTTGTACGCAGATCCTTTCCCCTGCCCAACAGTAATTGTGTTTATGTAGCTAATGCTTAAGTTTGTCAGATGGTCTGAGAGGTAGAGCAGCATGAATGCTTTCGAGCCCTCACAGGGGCGGAGGTGTAGGTTGCTGATAGTACTGCCGGTCGTTGTCCTCCCGTTGTTTCCTTGGCTCCGCTAATTGCTCTGCTATCACTTTTATCAAACAGGGAAAGAGACTCTGTGTGCAGGCTTGCCCGGCTGCCACGCACAGATACAAAGCGGATCAAGAGTTGGCCATTTCATTATTGATTTTCACCTCCGTGTAAAGGCGCCAAGATGTCATCTTTGGGCTGACTGTACTTTTTAATTATTTACACAAGTAAAGAGCTCTCACTCGCTTTGCCCCTCGCATTTGTCTCTCCCTCTCTCTATCCATCTTTGTCGCTCTCACTTAATTCCTCTGTCAGGGCTTTCTCACAGTGATGTATTAGTTGCAAATGCCCAACTAAAAATAAATGTATGTCACAAGTTGATTGATAACTTGCTGACTTTAAATCTCAAATAAAATCTGTCATTTTCACTGCTTCTCCATTTAGAGACTTTGAAACACAGATGTTTGCGATCACACAAAATGTGTGTTCTTTGTTTTGTCTTTGCTGCTATAGTTGGATAATGACTAATCGACTTCCTGGTAAATGGGTGGACAGTGAATGCACCTTCACAGAACTGGCCACTGCTTGTGTAACTTTTTCCTAACTTCCTGGTACAGAATTGTTTCTCTTGAGTAGTAGAGGGCTCTCTCTCTGTATGGCCTGTAGGCCACTTAGAGTAAATTTTGAGTTACATGTATTTATGTGTACTGTCACCACTGGGCAGCTTGGTGCATCAGTTGTTGGCACAGTCTCCACAATGTTGTGTCTGCAGTTCAAACTTGTCAGCCAGCAGGAGGTGTGATGTTTGTAGGAGTCCACAGACCTGAAGTTTTGCTTCATAGAAACTTTAACTTTCTCATTGATGTGAATTGGAATATTTATGTGCATTAGCTCTGTGATACACAGACACTGTCAAAGGTGTACCCCACCACTTGCTCTACACAGATCCAGTTTATGCAAGAAGAAAGGGAGGCTTTGGGTCTGCCTAGTCGATGCTCACTTGTACCTGTTTTCTCCAGGTGGTTCTTCGGGAAGATTCCCCGGGCCAAAGCAGAGGAGATGCTAAACAAACAGAGGCACGACGGGGCCTTCCTCATCCGAGAGAGCGAGAGTGCGCCAGGAGACTTCTCCCTCTCCGTGAAGTAAGTAGCACTGCACCAGTGTGCCACATGATTCACATTCACGCTGTTCTCTTTAAATACAGTTTACCATTATCTTTACATCAGTGTGCAGTTTCTCCACAACTGATCAGGTTCATAAATTTTCATACTTCTGAGTGAGTAATCAGGACAACCTCTTCCTCATTCTTGTGAAGTCTCAGTGCTGCCCTCTGGTGAAATGAGTGTTTATTATCCTTTGTAATGTGTGTTGGATATCAGGAGTACTTGCTGTTTTAGCTGACACGTACAGAGCTCATTTCCTCTTATCTGTCTCTCTCTCTGTTCTGATTTTCCCAAAGCACACAGTTCAGATCAGTTCACAGCAGGTTACATGTAAAGTTGATACTAAGATATGGATCTAACTTACCGTCTGGACTGTCCTGATTCTGCTTAGTCAGCCTGTATTGAATGTCAGTCGGTTACTGGCGTGACTGACTCATTTGACTAACACTTACCAGCCTGTCGCAGACACGCCCTATGTATTTGATAAGCGAGGTTAATGTCTGAGTGAGTCTTAGAGTTCCTCTATATTCATTTAAGTCTGTGCTTTGCCTTCAAAAACAACTTTAGATGCTGTCAGAATCTTTTTGTGCATTTAAGTATTGCTGAAGATCCCCCTCCTCATAGTTGTCCTCCTTGTGACCTTGTGCAGGTTTGGAAATGACGTCCAGCACTTCAAGGTTCTTCGTGATGGGGCTGGAAAGTATTTCCTATGGGTGGTGAAGTTTAATTCCCTCAACGAGCTGGTAGACTACCACCGCTCCACCTCAGTCTCTCGCAATCAGCAGATCTTTCTGCGAGACATAGAGCAGGTCCCCCAGGTAAGAACTGAGATCCTTAACTGTGACGAAGAGTAGCAGTGTGTTGCAACATGGTCTCTTTTTAACATTTCTTACAGGAGGATGTAATTGAATGTACCTTTCAAACGTACTAGTATCAAACATGCTCATATAGATATTTGCCCCTCCTTCAAATCTAGATCACTTATCTGAAAGTTCTTAACGCTGCAGAACCAGAACGAGCATTTTTGTCGTCAGCACAGCCACATTTGGACAAACTGAAGCAATGATGTTTGCAGAAATGTCTAGTCTCTGAAAAGTGTCATTAGTAACTCTGATTTCTGATTGTGTTCAAGAAAAGTAAGTTAGTAAAACTGAATTATGCTGAGGGAGAAACGGATGAAAATCCCCCTCTACATTTTCAAAATGAAACATGTAGATATTTGCCCAATTAGACATCATTAAGTAACATCCGGTTGTGTTTTCTACAAATTACAGCAAAGTAATTTACATACGCAACACTGTCTCTCAACATGTTACATCTCACAGACATGAGTGACTGACTTAAAGATGTAGATTACATTCCTGCCGTGATATTGTGGGTTAAAGGGTTTGGCAGTAGATGATGCGTAAAAACATCTGTGTTTTGCTGAGAATTCATTTGAATATACAAAATTGTATTATATATGCACCCCTGTTTAATCGGATGGTTCACTCTGGAGAAAAATTATTGAAAATGCTGCACCGCACTTAGCTGTGCTGTCACAACACAACAGACACAACCGCAAACAACACATTCCTCTTGCGTGTCTGAGTGACTGTGATGCAAACCCACAATGTTATTTTCTATGGGTTCACGCTAACACTGTTGGCCAGTAGGCTGAGGATTGTGGTAATATCTTTTTCATTAATCTCACCAGTAGAAATCCTCTGGCTGACTGACCACAGCAGCTTAGTTTTTAAGTTAGCCGGAAAGTGAAACCTGACGTAGGTGTTGCACTTCTAAATTAGTGCACCGTGAGTAAAGACGGCAACAGCCAGTCTTAGCTAAAGAGCTATTTGTGTAACCTATAAAAACAAACATATAATAGCTTATCAGTTAGAAACATGCAGATGAACATGTTCATTCAAATATGTGTGGTTGTTTGGGTGAGTCTGGACAGCGGCGGGAGGAGGAAGTTAGCTAGAGTGAAGCGGGTAGCCTGCAGGCCTGAGGGACAGCTGCAGGGGAAAGAAGAGAGGAAGTGTGACCAAAACCACACAGAAAAATAAAGAGATGGAGACAGTTAGAGGGAAAGAGACAGTGATATACAGATAAGTGGGAGGGGGGAAAAGAGAGGCAGCCTGTGTGAGAGAGAGAGAGAGAGAGAGAGAGAGATGGCGCCGCGTTGTGTTATCTCCTCTAGTTATAATTATATAGTGTATCAGGGTGCAGCACTATTGTTTATTCCTGTAGGTTGAGGATGTTCACGATTTGAGAGCAGCCACTGAAAAAACATTTATCCTCATGATTTAGATATTTGGCGGCAGGTTTTTTTGTCTTACAACTTATTAATTGCAATCAAGGAATGGACATCTTGTGATGACATGAAAGTTGGCCGTACCGTAAAACTTTGATTAATAGCGCGGGCTTTTATTTGCTTCAGTCACTGAACTCACCCTGCCTATATTTGGGACAGGTCTGTATAATAAATCCCTTTCACACAGAACCCTTGCTCAGCAAAGATGGGGAAATGGGCAAATATGAAATTGTTTATTTTAACCTGTATGAATTTTACTTTTTATAAAAATGTAGCTTTTTTTGTCTCTCTTGTTTACTATACCAGTAAATGTAAATTGTTTCCGTAAAATAAACTTAACAATTGAACTGTGGAAAATTGAGTATTGCTAAAAGTTTTAAATTTTATATTTGTATGTGTGATCTAAGCAGGTTAGAAGTAGCTCAAGAGAGCGACACTGTGGGTTTTCTGAGGTTTTAAAAATCCAAAGAACTTCTATAAAAACAAGACCAGGCGTCTAATCGATACCAGCGTTTATTTGTCAAAACGTGTAGCCACACCAGGCCAGTAGAAGGGGCAGGCTTTTAAATGAAGTTTTACAGTACTCTTCTTAAATGCCCTACCTAAGGTTACTGAGACCAAGAACGCTGCTAACTCAGAAATCACAGTGAATGTTTCAGTGTTTTTTAATCATCATTTCACACCTTTGCCAACCCGTTTCCTTCTTCTGATTGCACAGCATCCCACATACGTGCAGGCGCTCTTTGACTTCGACCCCCAGGAGGAAGGCGAGCTGGGTTTCCGACGCGGCGACTTCATCCAAGTCCTGGACAACTCTGACCCCAACTGGTGGAAAGGAGGCTGTCACGGCCAAACGGGCATGTTCCCTCGCAACTACGTCACGCCTGTCAATCGGAACATGTAAACAGTCAGATCATGTAAACAGCAGCCACCACAACAGCAACCATCAACACCACCACCACCACCACCACCATCATCATCGTTGATCTCATCAGCCCCCCCATCCAACCACCAACCACCCCTCCACCCCTCTTCACCATCCCACGATAACAGGAGCAGACAGGAAGAGCGCATACAACCGAAAGAGAGAGAGTGAGTTTAAAACAGGAGTAGTGCTTTCGTAGGCGTCGCTGTGTGGGTGGCAGCGGAGCAAAATCTGGAAAAAAAACTTTTTCTTGTGCTGAGAATGTTCACCTCCTTAGTGAACGCCTCGATGAGGATTGAACCGTCTTTGAGGGAAATCTAAACGCAGAGAAACTAAAGAATAGTGCACCAACCGTGAAGATAACCAAATGATTCTACCGCTCGCACAGCTGCTTCTGTCTTCCCCTTAACTTCTTAACATTCTGCCTTTCCTCTGTTTTTTGTTTTGTTTTTCTGTGCCGCATGTTGTTTTAATCACCTAAATGAAATGCCTACCGATAAATCCTAACTCTGTTTAAAAAAATTTTTTAAATAATAATAAAAAAGAAGAAATGGTTTTAAAAATGTACAAAAAAGACGAGCTAGAGAGAAAAAAAAATGCAATCTACAGTACAGCAAGTTTCCATGTCTGAGATCATTGGCACGTGAGCATTGTACATCAGCCATCGGCTGTATAAATAAATCAACTATAGAGAGAATCCATTTTTTAAGAATATATTATATATTTGTATGTGTTTTTGTCTGTTTTACCTCTCATCACAAATTGTATTTTTTTCCATTTGTAAATTATGTTCAATCTTTTGTTAGTCTGGATAAGACCTAGTAGCTCTAGAATGTGCTGAATTGTCAGGCAATTTTTTTTTGTTTGTTTTGTTTTTCTGAATCTGTCTGAGGGCTCTCCCGGATAATACAGCATGATATTTAAGGGGGCATGAATTTGATTCGAATAGGTTTGTCTTGCCTATAATGCAAAGAAAGTAAAGTTAGCTCTCTGTGAAGAAACAAATCAGGAAGCTAACGCTGACCAGCAAGTAGAGCCATGAATGCTGCAAGAGCTGTTGTATTACGAAGCCCAGTTGTAAAGGTCAGCCACCTTTTCAAAGCCAATGTATTTATTGCAGCCATTTTACTTGGGCAGTGAATGTAGCTGACTGAGTCCATTGATATTAACATGAGGGAAGCAAGGTCGGAGATCTGAACTACACAACCATGCAAGGGATTTTAAAGACATGCTGAAATAGTGATGTTTTCATTCATAAAGAGAACGATGTATGGAGGATTATGTACAGGCAGTGAACATGCATATTCACATAAACACTCATTACATGCATGCATACGCAGACGCTCTCCTCCTTTGTTATACCTGCACGTAGCAAGGAGGCAGAGTTTGGATAATCACATTGTGTAATCACCAGTGCAGATCTGCAGCTGGCACAGATAACCAGTTCAGAAAACTGAGAGATTGTCTTTTATGCTAAAAGAGAGAGAGATCAGCGTAAATGATGTAAGTTGTTTTTTTTGTCCTTTTTTGTTTTTTTTTCCCCAATGTGGCGTCTGGTCAAGCACTTTTTTTGTCAAACATTTTGATTTCTGGCCTGGTCCTGTGCGTGTGTATTTGTGTGTGTGTTTGTGTTATTGGTTTCTGTTTTCTTGTTCTCTCTGGATAGTGCCTTTCTCTCTGGTGTTTCAGTGTCTCCGACCTGCTACTTTGAGCCCCCTCCCTATATGGGGCCTGCCAGTCCTGCAGTGAGAAACAGTGTACATAACTCTACCTGTCCCATCCAACAATGAACCCCCACCCTCCACATCACCCCGCCTCCACCTTTATCCTCACCAACATGGAACTCTTCTTATTTAAGTGTCTCTCGCCTTGTCTTACCTAATGATACTGTTTTGTTTTTGCTCTTTTTTTATTTGCATTCGTTTTTTGGTTTTTTTTGTTGTTGTTTTTTTTTTTTTTTAATAAAATGCAATTATTAAAAAAAACTGTTTTTTTTCTTGTGGTGTATATTTTAGAAGAGACAAAACGCATAGACTTGTACGTGTGCCAGGCTTTGCCATCTTTAACAGCTGGTTTCTTAGTATGTGTGTATTTTAAATTTTACATTTAAAGGAGAAGTTTGACATTTTGGGAATACGAGGAGTTCATTCAGTATCTTAACACGAAAGGGAGTAAACTGTTCTCTGAACTCTGAATCGAGGGTACTAAAAGCGAGATAATTTCTAATTACTATGTTGTGTTTTTATCTTACTTATGTCTGATGTGCTGTAATAGTATCATTGTCAGCCAACAGCCTCAGTTTTGTCTTTTAAACCTCAATATGTGCATTTAATATGAGCTAACGTAAGCTAAGAGTGAAACCCCTGCATGAAGGCAAGGCAGCGTTGTGTTGCTTATGACCTCAACCTTTTCATTTGTAAGAGGAAAAACGTGTGAAGCAGTGGTTTCCAGACACATCGGTGCAGTATGATAATCAGCTTGCAGACTTGGAGCTTGCTTGTTATGAGTAATCCGTCACAACTGAGTATCAGGCGAGCTTTTTTGATTTTTGGCAGAACTATATTTGCTTGTTAACGCAGTTGAAAAAACAAATTGTTTTTCATCTGTGGATGGTTGTCCTGTGTTTGTGGGCACCTCAGAAAAGCTGGATTTGAGAGCTGCATTCATTACCTCAAACCTGAAAACAAAAAGAACATCTTTTCAGATAAATCCCTGCTTTAGCTTTGCATAACACCCAACCATAATGATTATCACTGTGAAGAATGCAGTTTTATTTATTTATATTCCTTGCTGAAACAGGAAAAAATACAGTCAAAACAGTACAGCATGCTTATTTGACTTGTAATAAAGAGGCTAAAACATGCAACTGCATCCACAGTCATAAAAGAGATTAGTCCTTTTTGACATCTTAACCTTTAGATGATCTTGCCCATCTGCACACATTTAAATGATATTGCCTGTGTTATGCTGGTGGTGTATTAAATCATCTATGTATATGATCCATAATTTGAAAATGCATACTACAGGATTAGCATGTTCGACCAAAAGGCTATCCCTCCAGACACAGTGTCAGTGGGTTTAGTTAAACACCATCTCAACACATTTCATTATGAAAGGCGTCCGAAGTGTCTGTCTTTTTCTTGGAGTGCAGATGATCTGAATGTGTCAGTTAATCTGAATACGCAGTGAAGAGGAAGCTGATGATTTCATTTCTTGAAGGGAAGCCCAGGGTGCTCTGCATGCAGCACTCTGCTGCAGCCAAGTGAGATCTTTATAACATCACATTAGCCACGGTCTGGTGCACTGTCTGCTCCATATTTTGACTTTTAGCACTCCCAGTACCACTTTCACTCTTCTCTTCAGTCTGGCGCCTCTCAGCCTTCATTTCTGTCTCCGACTGCCTTAAGCAGACGCTGTTACATCAGTGCTTCTAGTTTTGAAAGATATCCGGCTGCTCCAGTTCTTCTTTTTACCTTCATGACATTTACCAGTCATGTTTGTTCTGCAGTCTTCATTGACCACTGGTGGCACTGGCAGTTATTCAAATTAAATGAGAATAAGACATTTCTGATGGACACCATATATATATATACGTATATAAAACTATACACAATATAAAGTCTCGTCATTGTGAGAGGCTTTTCTAACGTGTGAGGTCTAAGCATGAACTCTGCCCCAGGGACCGTTTGTCATATGGTGCTGCTCGATAACAGCTGTGCCAGCATTAAAAGCCCGCTGCTCTCCACTGTGTTTGGACATTTTAAGATCATTTGCAAGTGAGGAGGACATGTCGTGCAGAGTTGAGAAGATTTTTATCAGCGTGTGAACTGTGGACCTGTTTGTGCCAGTCCCTCAGCATCACATTTAAAATGAGATACTGTTTGACTGGATTTGGTAGGTGTAATAAATAAACCATGTTTGGGAAAATGCATTTGCAGAAGGATGTAGGCACTGCAATAAAAAACCCTGTTTGCTGTACATCATGGGACATTATCTCTGACAACAAAGACCAATGACTGTTTCCAGGCCAGCTCAGGCAAATCAGATTCCACCCCTGGCTAACCCCCTAGCCCTGCCCCTGGAAACAGCCCCACTGAAGGTAATAGGTAGTTTGCTTGTTAGTATCACGGATAGTTTACTGAACATGCCTACCAGGTACAAGCCCAGGGGACCCTGGACCAAACCAACTGTATGAAGTGAAAGTTTGATCATGTCAATCAAACAACTACAAAACGACACAAAACAATATCAAAGAGAAGCAAAACAACTACAAAAAGATACACAATTACTACAAAGGGATGCAAAACAACATCAGAGACGCAAAACAACTACAAAAAACACATAACGACTACAAAGAGGCAAAACAGCTACAGAAAGATGCAAAACAACTACAAAAAGATACAAAACGGCAGAACATCTACAAAAAGACGCAAATTACTACAAAGAGACATGAAACAAATAGAAAGAGATACATTTGTAGTCACTTTGTGTCTCTTTGAGTGTGAAAAATGTGAGTCTACACATTTTTACTAATTTAACAAATGCCTACCTTCTTTAAAACTGTGCATCAATCAAACCAAATTTTTATACACCGGCCTCTGACTGCATCCCTCTGCTTTCTCTTGTTTACTGTTGTTAATGATGTCGCCTGAGTGGGCAGCAGTCCTCCACTGAGGTGAAATTTAACCCTCAACCCCTTATGTAATATATGGAATTACGAACCCATGAAAAGAATCTGTGTTCCTGTGTAGGTGTTTGATACGTGATACAGTTATCAGATCACTTTTTAAACTGCATGAGCACATTCATTTATCTGACATGCAAATGTGAAGACTTTCCACCCCACTCCCACTGGCAAACACAGGTAGATGAGTTGAGCTCAAACACACTTTGACGCACTGCTGCTCCAATTTTGACCTTTGTGGCTGTTTTGTGGGTGCTTTTAGGGTCACATTAGGTGGCAATTTGCAATTCAAACGTTGCATTCAAGGCCTAAACTCTCCCAAGCCTCAAGAATGATCCCTCATATTCCATCATTACATTTAACCACTCATCATGCAAATAGCCTTTGTACTGGAAACACTTAGTTCTTTGTAACCCTGCCCATCTCTTATTCCTGCTGCCAAATGTCTCGTAAATACCTAACGTTCAGACAGGTACACGGCACTGAGAGGTGACGTGTGGGAGGAGAGCTCATCCTGTTAAGTCATTCCACTCTGTAGCATTAAAACACTGCGGCTGACAAATGTAGAAACTTTTTTTCACCAAGAAAGCTGACTTGGTATACTGAGATGGTGCACACTTTTTATTCAGTCATGTATGGCATTTTACTGCCACCTGCTGGCTGATCACCATACTACCTAGAAAAACATATAGAGGACTTCAACTTTCTGTTTTTAATTATAATGATCACAGATGAACATGCTGAATGAGAGACCGAACATGTGGGCAAACACCACATGACCATAGGTGTCATTTACACTGGAGACGCTGAGGACATGTCCCCACCACATTTTGAAATGGCTGATTTCGTCCCCATTACTTTTTGAAAGCATTTGCAAAAATGTTCTGAAAAATTGCTTGCACCAAGTAATGTCAGATAACAAATGAAAATGCTTTGACAAAGGTTTATTTGCACAATAAGAAAACATGCCATGCAGTTTAAATATAGAGGACACCAATGTGCATTTTCCAAAAATTGCAACTGATTACCGCATTATATGGTTATATATGGTCACCTGCCAGCTGAAGTTTTTGTTTTGTTTCCTTTATTTCCTTTTCCTATATAAATATAGATATTTCCACCTTAAATTGGAGCATAAAATGTCTCCAGAATGCAGGAAATTAAGTGTTCAATGCTCCAATTTTTCTGGGGGAGGACAACCAGACCCCGCTCATATATTTCAGTATTTCATGTTTCTTCAAAATAGTGTTAAAAATCTTCTTGTCTTGTTCTTGTGCATCGCCATGTCTGTGACCCACGTGTATCATCACTCCCCTAATCTGAGCCCCTGTGTCCCCACCACTTTTCAACACAAAGTGACGCCCTTGCACATTACAATTCAGTGGTGGAGAGGAATGACTTCAGATAGTTCTTTACAAACTTTTTGCAGCAAAGCCACGTAGATTTTACAATACATGATATACTTCTAGAAATCAATTAAATCTATCATATTTACCCAATCGTGACACTATAAGTCTATAAATTAGTCATATAGCCAGCTATTTATCTATTTGTCTTTGTCTTGTTGAATTAGTAAAGCTTCGTCTTCACTCAGTTAAATATCTGAGTTTTAGATTTGGACTACTTCGCAATGCCGAGCAGTAGGGGGCGCTGTTTCATTACTTTAAACCATTTTAGTGGTGAGTCCAGTGATCGAGCTTATCCAGTGTTGCTTTGTTAGCCTGAACACAACATGTCGCCCACCGATGTCATTGATTTGTATGGTGATGATATGTACAATAATATGGTTCAAAGACATTATCTGAGTAAAAATAATATAGAGACGTTGTCGGCAGGATTCGAACCTGCGCGGGGAGACCCCAATGGATTTCTAGTCCATCGCCTTAACCACTCGGCCACGACAACTTACACATAGTTTTCTCAGAAATAATTTATACTCACATACAATTCAACCGTTCAAACGTGTAGCTGTGTCAGTGTCATCTAACCGGTCAGTAAAATAATCAAGGACTGGCAGCTGATGGGGAGGGGAAGCTAGAAATTAATTAACCTGAATTTACAAGTTATCCATATCTTTATTATTGTATCAAATAAATACTGTTGCTGATTAATTTTAATGGTTATTGCATGAACCCTCTTGTATTAATTCGGTCTAAATGGATATTTACACCATATAATAGCCTGCACCAAACACGGCAGCCTTGTTTGCATTTGACAGCTGCTACTTTGCAGAATCTTTTACATGCAAAACATGACTTCTGATGCATTGCTAGTTATAGCTTAACTTGTTATGTTGCATCTGAAACGACAATCTCCAGAAATATCCCTAACATTTTACTTTTATTACAACCTCTCCCACCTGCTAGTCTGTGTGATGTGAGCAGCTGAGTGGGTAATCTTGACATGTGCAGGACAGTAGACAGACTCAATGTTTTATTATCTTGTTTGCATTACATAAACTGCATTACTCTGTTGTTGGCTCCCATCTTGGTGTGGTGCAGCAGCGACCAGGTTTCCCGCCCAATGCTCATTAAAACTGAAAGCGAACACTTTACTTATTTAAGAAAACAACTGCCCAAGTAAAATATGAAATTAATTAATAGTCACACAGTCAATAGTCATTTCGCTCAAGTTGCCACTTAGCTGGGAGCAGTGTGACCACGTGACCCCTCTAGTCTGCTGTTTGTTCAGCCAGAGAGGCAGAGAAGAAGAAAAATGGCGGCTCTAGGCGAACCTAAACGGGACGCCGGGCTAACGTTTTAGCTTTCACACCCGAAAAGACACAGGGGCTCCTCGGGTTTACTGCACCGTCTGAATCCTCACCGGTCCAGCTTTGTAGGGGTGCCGTTTTCGCTCACGCCCGTGTAGGCTAAATAAACGCAAACACTGGGATAGTAAAATAATAGCTTTCGCTTATCATGAGAGGAAAGAGGGGCAGGCCGCCCAAACCGCTACAAGCCGAGGAGCCGTCCCCAGCTACTGCGCGGGGTTTGCGACCCAGGAGGAACCTGAAGCCCAGGTTGAGGGACAGCGGGGATGAGGACGCCGAGAGCCCCACAAGGGAGACCACCAAGTCGGCCAAGAAGAGGAAAAGGGGATCCGTCACGTCAACGCGGGGCAGGGGACGAGGTAGAGGTGGCGGCGGTGCGAGAGGAGGCAGAAGGGGTCGTGGAGGAAGGCGGACGGCTGCCTCCAAAACGGTGGTGTACGACGACCACGAGAGTGAAGAGGAGGACGATGCTGTCAGTTTGAGGTCGGAGGAGGACGAGTTTGTTGAGGAGGAATCTCACTCCGACGAGGACGAGGCCCTGAAAGAGGAGTCTGATTGCCTTGAAGATGATGTGCTGGACGAGGAGGAGGAGGATGATGCCAGCTACTGTACAGAGAGTAGCTTTCGGAGTCAGAGCACACACGCCAGCACTCCGGGTAAATAAACGCTTTGGTTAAGTGGTGGCCACAGTGTCTGTACATACTCTGCAAGGGTTGGGAAGTAACGTTACATCCCGAAATGCTACTGAGGCTGCTGATTATTGTTTTAGATAGTGCAGGAGGCAGTATGGTTATTGTTCAAAATGGAGAATGCACACTGTCTGAACACAGGCCGCAGTCATTAATGCTACTGCAGGTGGACGGTACCTGCACCACCAACTTACCTTGTTGCCATCCCCGTCTGTCAACACATCTTAAAGCACACCTTTCATATAATTCACACACATTTTAAGAGTATCTGCGACTGCCTCTAATTCGAAATATGCAGCTGCATTTATGTCAACAACTTAGCTGCTAGCATGCTAACGTTAGCATGTACAATTAGCTCAGCTCATGCTACTGTCAGCCTGGAGTCTGTGTTAGCTGGATAGCGGTAACTTTACGCATTTATAGCAACCCTCAACACCCACGGCCTTTTAGGTGAATACGAAATGGTAGTTTCTGGTCGAAGCTCATAAAATTAAAAGAAATAGATAGCTAACTAGCTTAGCTTGACTAGCGTGTCTGTCATTTCTATCACTTTGCCAGCTTTGAACTTAGTTATAACGTAAATCTGCAACTCACTCCAAAACTCAGCTAATGACAGCTAAGGTAATGTATTTCACGGTGCAACAACAGGAATGGGGTTTAAAATATGTGGCCTGACTAACATTTACGTTTTAAGCCAGTTGGACAGCAAATGTAAATGCAGGAGGATGAGGCATTGAGCTGATGACAGTGGTCATGTGTCACACCGGCTCAGCTGAAGGAGCACAATACAAGTTTGTTACCAATTTGAAACCAGACTTCACAGTGAATACCTTTTAATGTTTTACAGTAATAGGAATTGAATTGCATCTCTCTGAATAGTCCAAGCAAGCTAGCTGCACCTGTAGGTTTGAAAATAATGTAAATTGTCACTACAATTAGAAATCAGCATGCATATCTCACCCAGAAGGTTGAATATATTGGTATAAAGAAGATATTTGCTATATAGGCCTATAGAAGAGCTGGGTTATATTGATAAGATCAAATATCACCGCATTTCTGACCTAGTGTGACTCTCAGTCCTTTCATACAACCATAACTAAATAATTTTTAAAAGATAACAATCAAATTATGGTTTAATAAAATCCTTTGTGTTTCCTGCAGGCAAGAAAAAAGTACGGGCTCCCCGACCTCGCACTCCCATTCTGGAGGAGAAGGAGATTCCTCCTCTTGAGCTTCCTGACACCTCTGAGGACCTCCTGGTGCCTAATGAGGAACTGCTCAACGCCACCTCCATCTATGAGGTGCTACGGAACTTCAGCACAGTTCTGCGTCTCTCGCCTTTCCGCTTTGAGGACTTCTGTGCAGCATTGGTGGGCCAGGAGCAGTGCACTTTAATAGCAGAGACCCATATTTCCCTCTTGAAGGCCATCCTACGTGAGGAGGACTCCTCCAATACTACCTTTGGCCCCGCTGACCTCAAGGACAGCGTCAACTCCACTCTGTACTTTATTGATGGCATGACGTGGCCTGAGGTGTTGCGGGCGTACTGTGAGAGCGACCGGGAGTACCATCATGTCCTGCCATACCAGGAGGTGGACGACTATCCCTACGGTCCAGTGGAAAATAAGATCAAGGTGCTACAGTTTTTGGTGGACCAGTTCCTCACCACGAACATCGCCCGTGAGGAGCTGATGTCTGACGGCAGTATGCAGTATGACGACCACTGCCGTGTGTGTCACCGCCTGGGTGACCTGCTGTGCTGTGAGACCTGCTCAGCAGTCTACCACCTGGAGTGTGTGAAACCACCACTGGAGGAGGTTCCAGAGGACGAGTGGCAGTGCGAGATTTGTGTGGCACACAAGGTGCCCGGTGTCACAGACTGTCTGACAGAGGCGCAGAAGAACAGGCCCTACATCCGCCAGGAGCCCATTGGATATGACCGCCACCAGAGGAAATACTGGTTCCTAAACAGAAGGATTATTGTGTAAGTTAGGACCCTCACTGCTTTTCTGTTCCTCTAGAGTTACCTTTTGTTCTGTGCCAATTTCCTCAAACAGATTACACTAACTGTGCGTTAAGTTGGCACCACAAATGGGAAATATTTTATCACTTTTATTTAACCTGTTGAAAACACAGATCCACATTATCCCCAAATAGATAAAAAAAAAAATAAGAAAGAGAAACGGGGAAAAGGTCGTCGTCAACACCAATCCAGTGGAGTCCAGCTGATAACTTGGTTAAACACGATGGCATGTTACAACCCTTGTAGAAGTTATTCAAAGCGCCGGTAGGTCAGGCTTGCCAGTAACTCAGTGCTATCATATATCAACTGTCAGTGGAGTTATATTGTGATAACTGTGTTATTTTACAAAAATTGTAGTGTAAAACTGTTGTTTTGGTGTTTATTTTATGTGTGTGAAGAAGTTTGATGTTTTACAACAGTGGGACACACTTCAATGCAATGAACATCAGGTTCATTATTTTACATGTACATTTATTTGGTGTACATTTGACATATCACAGTATATACTGGTATAATATAGAATCATAATTTATTTCAGCCTTTTTCGTTTTTTAATTGATTAAGTTAAATATAGATCTGCTTGTACAAAGATAGCGAGACCTGAGGTGCTGAGCTTAAGCATTCATGTAAAGCTTGTCATCATAGTCATGGAGCGGTGAAAAACTAGTTGCTATGTAGTTACCCATGTAAATATTCAATAACAGCCATATAAAACACCTTCTAAAAGTTTGTTGTTCTAAAACCAAATGCACATTTTCCTTAAATATGTCAAACATAGGCCTCAAATTTGGACAAAAAATGGATTAATGTAAACAAAATTGCAGCCAGTTGAACAAAGTTTCCTAAAAGGTAGTCTCACATTACCAGACCTGTCTCAGCGCTGTGTTTTGTGTGTGCGCCTGTGTGCTGTTACAGGTTAAAATTTGAAACAGCTGGAGAGAGAAACTAAAAGTTACTGGGACTATCACTTGGCACTAGAATGCAACATGCTCCCATACCATCCGTCATTTGTTTGACTGAAGATTATAGAAGAGACATGCAGTCCGAGCCTTTTCTCTCTTCTGGCAGGAATACTTTTTCTTATTCCCTCCTCACCCCCAAACCTGTGTTCTGTTTGAACATATAGTTTACAAATAAGAGGCTGAATTTGTCTTATTTGCCTCTTATTTGTAAAGTATATTCTGAAGCCTTTTAATATTTTTGATTTGGGCAGAAAAGATAGATAGATATATACTTTATTTATCCCGAGGGAAATTCAAGCACTCGGTTAAAAGAATTAATAAGCAGATGAGCAGTCTGCTAGAGTCCCAGTTTAACCTGCCCTTGACACTCAGTTCTGTCTTAAACCTGATTATCTTTTATTTTAAACAAATGGCTGGTATCATTCTGTGTGAATCCTCTTGCTATTGGATTCTAGTATGGGAATTGATTTTTTTCCCCCCCAGCTAACTTGTACACTATTTTCTAGGCACCAATCTGACTTTTTCAGACCCAATACCAGTACCTGGTTTTGGGTATTGGCCAATGCAGAGTACCGATCTGATACCAGTGTAAAATGAATAAGCTCTGTGAGGAAGAGACCGGATTTCATTATTTAATGTTGAAGGCAACGCCAGGCTTGTTGCTTCCTAACTTTGTAAAACACAATGCTATGTTAGCTCTCCAAGCAAACTGTTACACATGTAATTGAATAGAATAGATTGGCTCTCCTTGTCACAGACCCGATCCAGATATTTGAGCCAGTATTGGACCGATATCTGTATTGGTGTATCCCTAGGTTTTCCCTACCATATACAGGTATCTTAACAGAGTGCAGAGTTGATTTAATCCAACCCAAAAATAAGGAATAATATTTCTTTAGTAAAAGTTGAAATTTACGAAAATCCACGAGGCATTTACCCAACACTAGTGAAATTATTTTACTAGCTAACATAAATGAATAAATTTGTGAACCTTGCAGTGAAGTGGTAGAGGAGGTATTTAACAACCTGTTTTGTTCTCACTCCACAGCGAGGAGGATGGAGAGCATGAGAAGAAAAAGATCTGGTACTATAGCACCAAGGCTCAGCTGGAGGAGCTCATGGAGTGCCTGGATAAGGAGTACTGGGAGATGGACCTGTATGCCACCGTGGAGGAGATGAAGGAGGAAGTGCAAGCTCACATGGACATCACAGAGGACCTCACCAACAAAGCCCGTGGAAACAATAAACCCTACCTCGCTGCTGTCAACGGTACGGATTTGACAATGTCTTCATTCCCTAAAATAGAGTTTTTAAATTTGAATCTTCTAGAGGTGTAATCTTGTTCTGGTACTTGAGAGTAAGATGTACTCGTGTTCGTGTTAGCAGCGATGATTAGGACATGTGGGACTGAAGCTGTGCAGCGATCAAATGTATCTGTGTGCGTTTGTGTCCTGCAGGGTTACGTTCAGAAACCACCCACCTAAGCTTCAGATAACATAGTTCCTCCTCTCAAGCAGCAGTGCTCTGCTATGATGACAGTTGACTCAGAAATGTGAGGTGCTGCCTTTTTTTTCTCTTCCTGCTTCACTCTCTCTCAGACACCAAGCAACTGTTTTCCCCTCTCTACCTTCCTGCAAGGAGAACGGCTGGTTCGAAGACTTTTGATTACCATGCCAGCAGCTTCCGTTTCTGTTTGACAGGCTGACATATCCGTTTTTTGTAACAGTTTTCCTGTGTGTGTGACCAAACTGCCTAACCTAATTTCAGTTCTTAGAAAGACAGGGGGGGGGTAGTATGTTTTGCCATGTGGATGTGCATCTGGCAATCTGTCAAAAGCTGGAGGTTTGAATAGGTTTTCTGTAGCCCAAAATGGAAGAAAATATGTTTTTGTAAAGCCATTGCAGTGCTCCTCACCATCATAAGTGATTTATGGATGTTGCTACTATATTTCATCCGTTAAAAGCCTTCTGCTGCTACTTGCTTTTCTTCCTTGAAGCTGGTTGGGACTGGGAGAGCAGTGAAAACTTTAGTAACATGGTTGTGCAGATTTTGGGATCCTGAGGAAAGAAAATCTGCCCTGTCTTGGATCTGTGTGTACCGTTTTTTTAATGAGTTAACTGAGTTATAGAGTGCTAGCGTCCAAGACAAAGTTCACACTATTACTAGGTTATTATGTTTATTAATTTATGTATACCTTGTCAGGAAGGTCACCTGGAGCTGAAAAGCAGCATTGCATCATGGGGATCTGTTATGCTCCAGTTGCCTGGTTAGGATGCATGTTTCAAATAATTTTTATTGCACTGAAACGATTAGTTGATAGACAGAAAATGTAATGGCAAATATTATTCATCATTATTCATCTTCTTTTTTTATTTTATTGAAGCTTCTCAACTGGTAGGATTTGCTGCTTTTTTGATCATATGTGATGGTAAAGTGAATCTATTGGTTTAGGACTGACGTCACCTTGTCTCTGGGAGCTTTTTCCCTTTCTTTTGACATTTTATAGACAAAATGTTTAATCAAGAAAATAATAGCAATGACAACAATTGTTGTTTGCAGCCCTATTTGTTTTAATTGGAGTGAATTTGTCTTCACATGAAAACAGGGAAAGAAGTACTTTAAAATAGTCAAATGTTTTTGCCCCAGTAACTGATTAGTATGATGAAGTATGGACTGTATCAGTGCAATAATTTAACTTACTTAAATCTTAAACTAATACTATAAATACACTCCTGAAGTAATTATTTCCTATGTTGTGAACTCATTCTAACTAACTGCTCAAGACGGAGTACTTACATTTGTTGAAATGTTACCATCTAATGCCAGGTCCATCATGACGTTGCATGGAAATGTAATGGCTGCCTTTTTTTTATTATATATACGTTTCCTTTTGTTTGTAGATGTGGTCACGGAGCGTCTGAAGGTCAGGCGGGAGGCACAGGAAGCAAAGAGGCGGGCAGCGAAGCAGGAAGCGGAGACGGGCTCTGTTAAGACAATGGAGGACACTGCCGAGATCACCTCGCAGCTCGACAATGGAGAACACGCTGAGGCCAAGGAAGATGCTAGGTCACAAGGTAAAAGTGAATTGAATATACAGTATTCTGTAAATCAGCATTGCTCTCTCTAATTCTCTCTTTCATGCCATTTCTTCCAAAACAACCCACTAGTACTCGTAACAGCAGGTGTGGTTTTTCCACAAAGTGAGAAATATTCTATGGTGGAACAGTGTCAATGATGTCTCTGCAGCAGTATAAACACCTCTACCTGACCTGCTCATAAACAATATTATGACCCCGCTGGTGTTGTTCGCTTTGTGTATGTATGTCGTGCCACAGCAGCCACGGTTACTCCTGCTGCAGAGGAGAGCTCTGATCCTAACCCCGGCTCGGCCAGCCGGGACGCAGCCTCTCCTAAAACGGAGTCCCTTGAACCTCATAAGGAAACGCAGCCTGCTCGCCCTAGGAGCCAGGACAGTGGGGAGTCCCCTCCGTTGGCAAAGCAGGAAAGGAAAGGTACTCGGAGTCAAAGACCTTCGCTCCACTGTCCTCCTATCAGCCGCTTCTCTAGCCAATCATCTCATCCTCCACTTCGTACCCTGCTGCTGTGCTGCACATCCATCTCCATCTTGTCTGCCTGTCTCTGCTGGTTGCTTTAATCCCCCTCCCCCCCCTTGCCCATTTGCCTTGTTGGGTGTACGTGTGGCTAAACTGATCCGTCTCAATACATTTGTAGTTTTACAGCCAGGTATCCATTTGTTTCAGAAACAGAAAGCAAAATCCGGTTTAAGGTAATTTGTTTTGAAGGACAGATTTGTTGTCATTGGTTTTTGCCAACTGGACTTGAGGAGGCGTTCCAAGATTAGTTTTTGGATAAATTGAAATGAAAACCGAACACAGTGTACACGTCCCTGGCAAACACCGTGTGGGTGTTCCAGTGCTTTGAATTTAGACAGTTTATTTTTTCTTTTCTTATACCTCTGCCATATCTGCAGGGTTTAGATATCGCTCCAAAATTCTGGCGGACCAACTGGGGCCTGCTCTCAGATTGCTTTTGTGTTGGCTGGCTGCGGACACCCCACCTTTCTGTTTTACATGGCTTCAAACAGGGTACCATGTGTCTCTGACCATGTTATGTTACATATTCCCTTGTGTAGAATTGTGTTTCCTAAGATCAGATTCTAATTCCACCTGCCTCCAAGGATAGCACACACTGTGAAAGAGGACTTTGTGCAGATATAATCTTTTCTGACAAAATACTCTTAGCTGTTGCTATTGAGTCCTCCTTTCTTTGAGCAGCTCAACCAAAGCATCGTAGCTCTTACCACTCATGCAACACTGGAGCGACCATAATAAGCCTTTTCAAATCACCTTTCACAGCATCTCTTCATTATCTTCAGAAAACATCTCATTAGATAGTGAGGAAATCTTTTTTCCACCTCTCATTTAATTGTTCCTGAGAGAGCTTAAGCTTTTGCATTCAGCACCTGCTTTGGTCACTGAAAGCTCCATTTATTTTTGGTGCATTCATTACTTGTCTTGTGTTATGTGTTCTCCTGCGCTCATGGTCTTAAAACGCACGCTTTTGGCACTGTGGTAGATGGCGTCCCTGGCAGCAGCTAGCACGCCATGCCTGTCACAACCAGCTCCTTATTCTCATTCCAACTCGTGGGCATTTGGGTGGGTTCCTGTTGCTCAGACAAAAGGCTCTGCGCCTGGAAGCCCCACCTGCTACCTCAACAACAAAGAGCTGTCATATATATATATATATATATATATATATATATATATATATATATATATATATATATATATATATATATATGTGTGTGTGTGTGTGCAGGATCACTCCTGTAACAACTCAAAGGCAGAGCTGGTGTCTTATTTTGGCTTTGCAGCAAGCACACAGCTTGTTTTGGATTTGAGTAGCCTTTCCTTTTGTTTGTTGGTTACATGTAAATTTCAAGTCCTGAGACCTGGTGCAACATTGCACAAGGTCTGGCTGAGCTATATTGAGAAATTGCAGAAGTTATTAAATATTATTGTAATTTAGTTTTGTTTACACAGCTGCCATCTTTGCACATGCCTTGTAGTTAATGTCATTCAGTTTCATTCCTTGCATCTCTGTTTTTGTTTTTTGTTTTTTAGATGATGATGCGAAAGCAGATGCTATCAGTGAAGTCAAGCACCCTGACGAGTCGCAGACACAGACCCAGGATCAGCCACAGCAGCAGTCATCTCAACCAGAGGCGAGCAGCCAGGCTTCTGGATGTGGAAGCCCCAGGAAACCAGAGCAGCCTGACCTGGCTGATCGGACCTCTCGGTCCTCCTTCACCAGCCAGGATGGGACAGGTAAAGGGAATGAGGCTCGTTTGTGCTCCAAAAGCAAATAAACAGACTTTTTCAGTTCAGTTGCAGTGTCTCTGTTTGAATCGATGCTGAGTGTGTTGTTGGACTGATAGTGTTGTCTGCTTTCTGAATCTCAGAAGAGTATATCGAAAGGGTCAAGACTGAAAGAGGGCAAGCAGCAGGACCGGAATCTACTAATCTGACGCCAAGAGGCAGCAAAGAGGTGAGTTATGTGTCTGTGTGTTGTTGTTTTGTTTTTTTAAATAAAAACATTTAATTTTACATTTATTTTAATTCTTTGACTGAAATCTGTTTAAAATGATGGAAAATCACAAAAAGCTTTATAGATAACAGTTTTGCCCAGGTATGTACTCAAAGTATCGTCTAGTATTAAAGCCACAACCTTTAAAATGCAGTTTTTATTTATTTTTCGTAGTTTAGTAGAATGTAATGTCCCCCCTCATGTTTCAGTCCTCTCCTGTACGCTCTGATGGTGACACGTCACGTCTCAGCTTCTTCAAAAGGGACCTGGCCGTGAATTTGAACAACTTGTTCAAACTGGGTCAGGAGGGTAAATACAGGGTATACCACAACCAGTACAGCACCAATGTCCTGGCCCTAAACAAACATCAGCACCGCGAGGACCACGACAAGCGACGCCACCTCTCCCACAAATTCAGCCTGACGACCACGTCGGAGTTCAAATGGAACGGCTCGATCTACGGTTCGCGGAGCCTGACTGTCTCCACCCTGCGTCTCACCATAATCCAGTTGGAGTCCAATGTCCCGGGACCATTTATGCATCCTAACTGGGCATCGCACAGGTAAAACTCAGATCAGGTTAATGTGAAGCCCTTTGGGGAAATTCAGTGTAGTTTCCTACAGACATTGAGTTTACTTTCTAGTTCGCCAAGACATGCTGTTGTTGTGATGTTAGTTATAGAAGCAGGAGAGTTGTGAGTGTCTCTGTCTGGAGCTGGTGTGCTGGCTCTGGGACAGTCTCATATTCTCTCTGCATGTTAGCTTCGCAGCAGCAACAGTAGTGGTGACAGTTTTCTAACCCAAAACCTAGCTAACGTTCAATGATACCATGACAGATCATTTTATTGGCATACCCCATGCTTTTTCAAAGGATACAACAATGGTTCTTGCAAAATCCGATGATCAATTTTTACTTAGTGTAAGAACTTTAAATATGATGAAGCTTTATGGAAGAAATATGTGGTTGTGCCGTTCTATCTGTTAAACTTTGTCTCTATTTTTTCTAGGACCAACTGGAACAAAGCAGTGCAGATGTGCAGCAAGGCCAGGGAATTTGCTTTGGCCTTGGCCATACTGGAGTGTGCCATCAAACCAGTGGTCATGCTGCCCGTATGGAAAGATTCTCTTGGACACACAAGGTAAAGGAAGAACACTACTAGCCACGTGAACTGCCCATATGGCAGTCAAACACACTAATAGCACATTAACATTGCCCTCCAAAAGACTAACATGATTCGAGATACTCATCATCTGTGATACTACACTGGTGATTTCTTCAGCCCGTTTTTTACATTTACATTTATTCATTTAGCTGGCGCTTTTATCCAAAGCGACTTACAATTGCTATACATGTCAGAGGTCGCACGCCTCTGGAACAACTAGGGGTTGAGTGTCTTGCTCAGGGACACAATGGTGGATGTCTCACAGTGCGAATCGAACCCAGGTCTCCCACACCAAAGGCAAGCATCTTATCTATGCGCCATCACCACCCAGTTTTGGAGTGCATTGTTGTTGACTGAACAAGCAGCGTTTTTCTATTTCAATCCTGTCCATGCACCTTACATTTTATGTGTGTTATATACTGTACTGTCTTACTTCAGGCTACATCGCATGACCTCCATGGAGCGGGAAGAGAAAGAGAAGGTGAAAAAGCGCGAGAAAAAACTGGAGGATGAGGAGACACTGCAACAGGCCACTTGGGTGAAGTACACCATCCCCATCAAACACCAGGTAAAATAGCAGTATCTTTCAGCTGTCATCCAGCTCCCCCTGTGTTCATTTAAATGTAGGAAACAAATTACATTTGCTATATCAGGATAAAAGGATTATTTTCGTACATTTAAAACTCATTTGTGTGTTTTTCTATCCAGGTGTGGAAGCAGAAGGGGGAGGAGTACAGAGTGACGGGGTATGGGGGCTGGAGCTGGGTCAGTAAGACTCACGTGCCACGTTTTGTTCCAAAGCTACCAGGGAACACAAATGTGAACTACCGCAAAGATCTGGAGGGTATGGCCGAACTTGCGTAATTTTCTCACTATATTCTTCTGCTGCTGGCACTGTTGGCTCATATTATTGTGATAATTTTTTTTTCTTTCTTCATAGCAGCTAAAATGAGCAAGGAAAATGCAGCAGCTTGCACAAATAAGCAGAGAAAGTTGATAGAAACTGAGAAGCGGGCTACTAAAAACGCAGGGGACGATGAGAGTGAACAAGCATCCATCACTGTGCCATCTCAGAGCACTTCACCCGAGGAGGACTGCAAATCTCAGACCTCCAAAGAGGAAGAAAAATCCAAGGAGGAGGAGCGGGGAAAAGATGTAGAAGAGAAGCGAGAAGATGAAAAAATGGAGGTTGACCCAGAAACGGCTGCTTCAGGTGACGAGAAAGGTAAATCTTAAGTGGTAGCATTTATTTATCTCTCTTTGGAGTTTCCTTGATGCTGTTTGTGAATGGATATAAATTTCCGTCATCCACTGACCTCTGTGACACTTTGTTATAGATAAAGTTGAAAACGAAGGCCCTTTGTCACCATCTGTGCAGCCTGTGAGGGAGGAACCAATCCAGACAGAACAACCCAAGAAGGAGGAGACCACTGCATCAAAGCCCTACTATGACGTTGTTAACGTCAGTGAGGGCTTCCAGCTGCGGACAGCTTATAAGAAGAAGGTGAAGCCTTCCAAACTGGATGGGCTTTTGGAGCGCCGAGTAAAACAGTTCACCTTGGAGGAGAAGCAGAGGCTAGAGCGTATGAGACAGGCAGCCCTGCTCTCCAAAGGGGCTGCCACAAAGCAGACGTCCGGGGTTAAGACTGAGGGATCCACATTAGGCAAACAGCAACCTGCTGTGACCCCGTATGTTAAAGAAGAGAAGGAGGAGAGCCTTCAAGTGAAAGACCACGTGGTTAAAAAGCTCCACTTTGAGCAGGAGCAGTCGGAGATAAAGGCAGACAACTTGGATGTCAAATCAGAAACCACAGTACCCAACCACAGCAAACAGACAGAGGGGAATTCTGTGCAGGGGAACGGTGAGGAGGCCTTAGCTCACAAAGAAGTGAATGGAGGACCCCTAGCAAGCACTGAGCTCAACAGTAAAAACAATTGTATATCAGATGCAATAGATATCAAAGAAAAAACACAAAAGCCAGAGGTGGCTCGAGTGGGAGAGAATGCTAAAAAGCGTGGGTATGAGGAAATTGAGCAAGGCAGTGAAAAGAGTGACACAGAGAGCATGGAGGTAGACCAAAGCAAGTCTAGTCCAGTGCAGGTGAATGGGAAAGCTAGTGATGCCACCCCTGCGGACTCAGACATCAACTTAGACTCAGCCAGTCGAGTCCAAGGTGATATTAAAGAGCCTCTCAAGTCTCTGATGAATGGAAACCTCTTGCAAAACGACGTCTCTGAAATATGTCCACCTGCCCTGAAAGTCCCGAAATTAGAAAATCATGTAGCAGAGAAAGGAGAGACTCTCAATAAGAATGTGGCCATGAACAGTGAGGGGACAGTACCTGCTAAGCTTCCACCTTCAAGCCCATCTTGCCTGAATAGTAATAGTACAGACAATAACAGTAGTAGCGAAGGTTTGAAGACTTCCATCACCACTAACACCACCATCACCACAGAGTCTCAAAGTGCCCCGACAACTGACCTATCCAGTCCTGTTCCCACTTCCTCTACCACCCAGCCCAGCTCCAGGGCAAGTGTCCCCCAGAAGGCAAAAGTCCCAGTCACTGACACCAAGATGGGCACTTCTGGTTCAACAACAACCAGCTTCATGACTATTAGTAAAGAGTATTCCACCAGAGACCGAGTGAGCCTTCTCAGGTTCTCCAAATCCAAGAAGGCCCGCTCAGGGACAGCCCTACCGTCCTACCGCAAGTTCGTCACCAAGAGCAGCAAGAAGAGCATCTTTATCCTGCCCAATGATGACCTGAAGAGGCTGGCGAGGAGGGCAAGTATCCGAGAGGTGCCCATCTTCAACTACAACGCCAAGCCTGCCCTGGATATATGGCCCTACCCTTCACCTCGGCCCACGTTTGGAATTACATGGAGGTTGGTAACGCAGTTAGATCTTTTTACACATTGTTTGGGACACTTTAAAATGACACTTAGAACTGTCACACTGGCACTAGTGTACATTTACAATAGCTCAGTGACAGTCTTCTTTTAATTCTTTTAACCAGTATTATGACTGATAAGCCAACTTTAGCTCGTACACTAAAGAAATGTCAACATTGCTGATGGGTATTGTTGTCTGTCCATATTGTGTTTACATGGCAATAATAAGACGCAATATCATGTTACCAGGATGTAAAAATGCAGTTAATTAAAATGTGTATGTAAAAATACTTAGAAATGTCATGAGCTACTTATTCTTCTGACAACACTATGACCATGTCCCATTCAGGTACCGTCTCCAGACTGTGAGGTCACTGGCAGGGGTCAGCCTGATGCTGAGGCTGCTCTGGGCCTGCCTGAGGTGGGATGACATGGCTGTAAAGCCCTCTGCTGCTGTAGGGACTACTCGGAAAGGTGAGAAACTGCTGTACCTCATCCTTCACCTGTACTGATCCTTCACTTCCTATGGACAGCTTTTCTGTGTGCCTTTGAGGAAGCCTTCTTACATTAGTTTCTATTTTACTTCAAACATGCTCATGTCTTCTGTTTCTGCCAACAACACGCTGGTGTCTCCACCTTGCAGTAATATGGCTATTAAGAGTTGCCATCGTGCAAATATGTTTGATTGCCACCACAGAAACTACAGACACAGACATCACCACAACAGAGATTATAAAACGGAGGGATGTGGGGCCTTACGGCATCCGCTCAGAGTACTGCATCAGGAAGATCATCTGTCCCCTCGGAAACAGAGACACTCCCAAAGGTAAAAGCTGAAATTTATTCAGGAACAATTTTGGATTTAAAAACAAATCGTAGTTGCAAATGTGAAGAATGACCAAGATCTATTGCTTGAAGAGTTTTGGCAACATTTTATGAGGATAATGAATAGTTTGTTTCCCTTTTCCCACGAGCAGAAACCCCTACTCCACAGAGGAAAGGCCTGCGCTCAAGCGCCTTGAGGCCCAAGAAGCAGGAGCCAGCCAAGCTGACGGGGCCCGTTGCTGTGGAGACATGGGTGCCTGAAGAGGACATGGAGCTGTGGGAGATCAGGGCGTTTGCAGAAAGGTGCAAAAACACAAAGCAAACCTCCTCTGGCCTCCAACATTATTGTTTTGGGGAACACTGAATTGTTCTGATCGAGCAGATTGTCACCTTTTCCCTTGGTGTTACAGAGTGGAAAGAGAGAAGTCACAGGGTCTCGATCCCTCCAAGACCGGCAGTAGTCTGAAGACGGCAGAGGATGTGAAGGCCCATTTGGAGAATCAGCTAAAACAAGCCAGACAGGCGGCACAGCAGGTAGGAACACACGCACGCACGTTATCAGTTTATCTGATTTAGTAGGACCTTGTTTAGGTCAAAGTTGGGTGGCACTATACTGGGAGGTCATCAAACTCTATATACACCTAAAAATGTTTTTTAGAAACGTCTGGAACCGCTGAGACAGAGTACTACTGCCAACACTTCCACAACAACAACTACCACCACCTCAGCCAACACTCTCAACACTCCCAGTACCCCAGCATCCACGGGCCAGAGAACAGGTCAGGCCACACCTGGAAGCAAGATGGTCCTCGCCTCCAAACTGGGCTCTCCAGTTTCCTTCCAGCAAGACAAAAACTTCCATCAGTCTTTTGCTTCCTGGGTAAAGCAGGGTCAGACCAACAACAGCTCAGGTAAGCCGGTTGGAGAGGAGAATTTGAATTATCTTCATCCAAACATACACACCTACATGTAATGGTCTAGAGTTGTGTGCCTTCTCATCTGTCATATTCTGAGAGAGACGGGCCGACAAAGGACTGTCCCAGGATCTTTGATTTTTTTTCTTTTTACATTTTCTTTTTTTGTGCGCCATTTTAGTTTATAAGAAGTCGATCATCTGCATGACTTTCCACAACCTTTCCTTTTTTGTGTCAGTTTTCTACGTTATGTGATTGGCTTGCCAAAATGACTGTGGCTTGTGGTGTCCACTTTCAGTTCTGCTAAAATTAATTTGATTTAAAAATGTGCCCAGTCCTTTATATCTGAAAGAACTACAGAAGAGCCCGTGTATCGTCAAAATATAAACACACAGCAAAGCAATAATCCCTAATATTCAAAATATCAGCCCCTTTTGTTGACTCAAACATACCAGTGGACACCACGGCCGTAGACTGGCTGTAGTGGTGGCCCTTGTGGGGTATGCGTGACTGCAGGTGGCATGGTGTGTCTTGCAGCCTCCACTGGCTCGGTGGCCACCGTGGCTAGCAGCATCACCACCACAGAGCAAACCTTCCAGATCGCTGGCAGCCCAGTGACTGTGGCTGGCCAGGTCCTCGCCGCCAAACTCCCGCTGCCCGCTAACAGCAAGATTGTCACGCTGAACATGCCCACCACTCAAGGAGGTAGGGAGCATGAGTGTCATCCATTTCCGCTGGTTTGGGCTTACTCTTGCCAAAATGGATAGACGACATGTGAGAGGCAGATTTTGCCTCTCACATGGCACGGTGTTGGTGTTGAGCATGGATGATGCCACCAGTGAGTCGTTTGTTGTTCCTTTTTTTTGTTACACAGCCAATAGTTAGATTGCGTTTGTCTGAGTTTTAGATAAAGTACAGTTAACAGATGAACTAAAGCTTTCTCAACTGCTTTGGATACTTTTGAATAAAAGGTTTTTTTTAAACAAGACATTCCAAAGATCCTTCCCCCCACACGCAGTGCATGCCTCGCTGCTTCTGTACATCCTTGGACTGTATCACTGCATGAACCCAATGCATATTTGTTCCTGTCCTCATGTAATCGTTCTTATCAACAGGTGTAGTCCAACAGAAAGTCCTGGGCATATTCCCCTCTGGGCCCCCTGCAAACCTTAGGACCTACAGCACACTACATCCCACAACTGGCAACATCAACCTCAGAGCCACCACCTCTGCCTCAACTACCCAGCAACAGGTATTTTGTCTCCCCTTTATCCTTCTCAGTTTTTACTTAAAGCTAGGGGAAATATTAAGCATTGTGACTGATCATTTTACCCTTGGCTTTGTGTTCCAGGCTGTAACAGCAGGAGGCCACACACAGCCTGGCATGACGATGAGCCAGTCGCCTACCCCGTCTACCTCCATGGGCACAGCAGTGGTCAGAAGTCCAGCGTTGCCTCAACAAGGTGTTCTGTCTGATGTGTAATTTCCATTCACAATTGAATGCCTTCAGCGTTTGTTGGCTCATGCCTTACAAATAACCATTTGTACTCCTTCCTCATACCCCTCCAGGCCAACTTCAGCAGGCTGTGACCCAGATGGGCAGTGGTCAGCCTGGACCCACGGCTGGACCTGGTTCTACACCTGTGCAGACGACTGCAGCTCAGAGAGCAGCGGGTGCTGCCCCATCGCCTCATGCAGCCACCACAGCACCTGGGCAGCCACCTGTAGCTTCCTCCCAGACCAACAGACCACAGCAGGGTCAAGTTAAACTCACTATGGCACAGCTCATGCAGCTAACACAGGGTGCTCAGGTGAGGACATATTTGCATGTCTTACATGTCTTTTCCTGCTGGGCCATTTAAAGAAGGCTTAGAATTAGATCACTGTTAGCTGAAGGCAAGATTCCTTTTGTCTACAACTCTGCAGGGTGGAAACCCAGGTCTGACAGTGGTGATCCAGGGTCAGGGCCAGACCCAGGGACAGCTACAAATCATCCCACAGGGTGTAACGGTCATCCCTGGTCCTGGTCAGCAGCTAATGCAGGCTGCAATGCCCAATGGCCAGGTGCAGCGCTTCCTCTTCAGTCCCATGCCTCCATCCTCATCAGCTTCACCACTCACTACTGCTACCCCTACGAAGCCTGCCGTGGCGCACACCCAAGGTCCAACCCAAGTCCACACAACTCCGTCAGCCCTGGCCCAAACCCAGATGTCTGCCCCTATACCAGCCCCAACACACATGCCACGTTTGGCCCCCACTCCAGCCTCAGTCCCTGCGCAAACCCAAGTTGCAGCTCAGGCTTCATTGCAAACACAAGTTGCAGCCGCTACCCCATTATCAGCCCCAGCACAATCTCAAATATCCACTCCTGTGCCTGCCCTGCCACACGTTGCAGCCCAGGCCTCAACACAGGTTTTATCCTCCACACCAGCCTCTGTCCCTGCACAACCCCAAGTGGCAAGACCTGTGCTTGCCCCAGCACAAAACGTAGCTTCAGCTATGGTGCAAAACCAAGTCTCCACCCTCACCCCAGGCTCATTCCCTACACAAACCCAAACTGCAGTGTCGCTACCTGTCCCAGGACAAGTTGTACCTCAGTCCCAGATCCAGACACACGCCTTCAGCCCTGCCCCAGCCTTAACCTCAGTACCTGTCCAGATGCATGTTACCGCTCCTGCCCCTGCTTTAGCCCCTGTCTCAGGCTTGTCTAACAACACCCAAATGCCTGTCTCAGCCTCTCTTCCCTCACCTGTCCAAGTTCCAACCCCTGCTCTTGCTCCCGTCTCTGCTCCTGTAATAGCTGTTGTGTCCACCCAAATTGCAGTTCCATCCCTAGCCAAAGCTCCAACCCAAATCCAAGCCACAGCTCCGGTTCCCCTTCACGCTGCTGTGGCCAATGCTGTTGTCACACCAGTCACAGCCACCTCCACAACACCTTCAGTGCCAGGTAAAACACCCACCACAATTTCCACAGACACACATCAGCACCATTTTAGTCATTTGTCTATTTACAATGGTGGATTTTTTTTTTTATATATACATTGTTTCTCTTCTCCCTCCTGTTGCAGCTCTGACAGAGCAGAGGGCAGCTCAGCCCCAGGTTTGGACTCCGGGCTCATCTCAAGCTCAGACTCCAGTTCAGCCAGCCCAGAAGGCTGTAGCTCCCGTTCAGACACCTGCGCTGGCCACTGTACCCGCCTCTGCCCCCGCATCAGTCTCCACACATTCATCCGTTACCCCTCTGCCTCAACCATCTCTTCCTCCTCAAGCTCAAGTACAAGTCCAGCACCCTACCGTTGTATCCGTGCAGCAGGTGTCTCAAATTCCAGTCTCAGCAGTGCAGGTTCATATGGCGGGATTACCGGTCTCCTCTGTTGTTACTACTGTGAGACCCACGCAGCCTCAATTCCAACCCCAAGCCCATACTCCACTCCAACCCCAGCGTCAAGCCCAAATCTGTGCACAGATTCAGGTCCAGCCCTATGGCCAAGTCCAGCAAATGCCACAAATTCAGGCTCAAGCAGCGCATATCCAGGCCCAAGCACAAGCCCAAAACCATCCCCAGGTCCGTGTTCAGTTCCAGCCACAAACTCAGCAACCACCCAAAGCCCAGTTACAACCCCTTGCTCAAAGTCAACCTCAGGTGCAGTTTCAGTCCCAGACCCAAACCTTGCCCCAGGTCCAGGCCCCAGCACAGGCCCAACTCCAATCAAGAGTCCAACCTCAGTACCACCCCCAGGTACAAGCTCCATTTCAAACACAGGCTCAAACCCAACCCCAGGCGCAGCAACAGCCTCAGGTCCAACCTCAACCCCAGGTTCAGTCTCAGGCCCAAACTCAGCTACAGCCCCAGATCCAAACCCATCTTCATCCCCAGGTTCAGGTCCAGTTCCAGCAACAGAGCCAGGTTCACTCACAACCTCAGGCCCAGCAGCAACCCCAGGTCCACACTCAGTCACAGGTGCAAACTCAAGTCCAGACCCAGACCCATTTTCAAGTCCAGTCACCGCAGCAGACCCAGGTCCAGCAACAGCTTCAGGTACAAGCCCAACCCCAAGTCCAAGCTAAGGTCCAAGTCCAGTTCCAGCCTCAGAACCAATCTCAAGTTCAAGCACAGCCTCAGCTTCAGGTCCAGTCTCCAATCAGGCATCAGCTCATCACCGTTCCAGGCCTCCAACAGCCGGTCCAGCTACTCTCAGCTCTGCCACCCCATGTTGCTGCCCAGATCCAAGCCCAGATCCAGGCACAGGCACAGCAGCAGGGAGGCACTGTTCCCCAGCAGATCAAACTTCAGCTGCCTATCCAGATCCAGCAGACAGGGGGGCAAATTCAGGCCCACCAGATCCAGAACATGGTGACAATACAGACGCCAGCGAGCGTCCAGGAGCAGCTCCAGAGGATGCAGCAGCAGCAGCAGCAGCAACAACAACAACAACAACAACAACAAAAACCAAAGAAGAAGAAACATCATGAGGCTAAAAGGGAACAGAAAGAGCAGAATCTGCAGGCTGTCAGCCCTGGGGATGGCATCCAAAAAACAGGTGTGACTCAAAAAAAGCAATTCACAATGATTCATTTCTCACAGCATCTAGATACAGTAAATACTAACTGAACATTTTTCTGTTGTTGTCAGGTGGTGGTGAAGCAGAATGCTACAGCAGAACAGCTGAAACAGAGGAAGAGCCTGGCTGCAGCTGAGCGAGAGGAGAACCAGAGGTTTGGGTCTTAATAATCACAGAATTGTGGAGCTTTTATGACAAATGACAGTAGTATTCAGTGCATTTCCCTCCAGTCTTGTTGTCCACTTATTCTGATATGAACGTTTTCAACCCCATAACTGCACCCCCAACTGAAGCTGCCTCTGTTTTCAGAATGATTGTGTGCAACCAGGTGATGAAGTTCATCCTCGACAAGATTGAGAAGGACGAGAAGCAGGCAGCTAAGAAGAGAAAGAAGGAGGAGGTGGTGGAGCAGAAACGCTCCAAACAGAATGCCACCAAGCTGACTGCCCTGCTGTACAAGCACAAAGAACAGCTGAAGGCTGAGATCCTGAAGAAGAGGGCCCTGCTGGACAAGGAGCTGCAGCTGCAAGTACAGGTAAGCAAACAGGCTGCTTTCACCAAGATGGTGATGCAAAGAGTAGAAGTTAAGATCGGGCATAATATTTAGAGGGGAGTTTAAAATACATCAAGTGGAGGTACCATACATTACATGTTTTCTCCTCTTCTCAGGAGGAGCTCAGGCGGGACATTGCCCGGCTACAGAAAGAAAAGGAGAAAGCCAGAGCTGCTATCACCCAGGCTGCTGCTGCAACGGTCAAGGCAGCCGCTTCCCACTCCTCCCATCCTTCTCACTCTACACATTCCTCTCATAGTTCTCACACAATTCCCTCACCGTCCCCGTCCCATAAACGGAAGAGGGAGGAGGAGAGAGACAAAGACAGAAACAGAGACAGGGACAGGCATCACGACAAGGACAAGAAACGGGACAGGGACAAGGACAGAGACAAATATAGAGACAAAGACGAGGATCGAGAGAGGGAGAGGGACCGAGAGCGGGACCGACATCGGGACAAGGACAGAGATAGGGACAGAGACAAGGACAGAGATAGGGACAGAGACAAGGACAGAGATTCCAGCTCATTAAAACACAAGAAGAAGAAGAAGTTCTCTTCTACCTCAAAGGATCACAAGAAGGACAGTAAATTGTACTGTATCTGCAAAACGCCCTACGACGAGTCGAAGTAAGCTGTCTGGGAAAACCTCAGCTATTGCACACGTGAAGATCACTGAATTGAATCATCGTCTTGATGATTTCAGTGACACAAAACTTGAATAAAAATTTTTCTCTCTCAGGTTTTACATAGGATGCGACCTGTGCTCCAACTGGTTCCACGGCGCCTGTGTTGGCATCACAGAAAAAGAGGCCAAGAAGTTGGAGGACTTTGTGTGTAATGACTGCAAACGTGGCCAGGAGGGAGCAAGCAATGAGGAGTTATACTGCATCTGCCGGACACCATATGACGAATCACAGTATGGCTCGCTACAAATTACATAATCATCAGCTTCAACTGTAAACATAAGTCAAATCTAGCCCAGAAATGAAAATCTAGAAAATGCACTGCGGTATTTTTGCATGTTAAACATTTATCTTTCATAATTCATTGCTCCGTTCATCCTCTTCATTTTCTTCCATATGTGGACCCTTTCATTGGTGTGCTCACCACGAGATGTATCCACTTTTCACCCACAGGTTTTACATAGGCTGCGACCGCTGCCAGAACTGGTACCATGGGCGCTGCGTGGGCATCCTGCAGAGTGAGGCCAATCACATCGACGTGTACGTCTGCCCGCAGTGTCAGTCAACTGAAGATGCCATGACAGTCCTCACGCCGCTCACTGACAAAGACTATGAGGGGTTGAAAAGAATATTACGCTCGTTACAGGTATGAACATACTGTATGTGTGTGACTGTTTGTACTTATGTAATGATATTAATAAAATGAAATATAAACTTGGATAAAAGCAATATTAGAAGTGTCTTACAAGAAGGCTCAAAGACGAGAAGTGGTTAATAAAAGAATTGTAAACATTATAAATGTTTTTGTTTTTAAATAATACTAAATAACTAGCCTTTCCACTTGTTACTCACCATTTCAATCTGCCCACATTACCCTGTGTTGTGTATGCCAAAGACGGTGGATATTGTAAAGTGGTAGAGGAACACATCAGCAACCACCATACCACCATTATTTTTTATTGTAAAACTCATTATTACACTTTTAATCTCTTTAAAACGCTGTGCTGGGTACTTAGTTAGAATGGATAAAATTGAAAATGATGTTCAAGGTTGTATATTAATTTTCTCGCCTCTATTCAACGATGAAGGTAACACAGTTCATCTTTTTAAGGTCTTATTGTTTTTTAAACAATTAGTTATTATCTTAATAGTGCTTTAATTCTCTTCATATTGACTGTGCCAACCATAAAACAAACATGGCCGCTCTAACCTTTCAAAAGTTTTTGCAGCATCCAGTATTAACGTCATCAATATCTCGCATCCAGACGCATTGCTTGAAATGTTGCTAATAATTTATTAATAGTTTTTGTATTATTACTACCCATCTTTAAATTGATTATTTATTAATCTCTTACTTTAACAGTCCCACAAAATGGCTTGGCCTTTCCTTGAACCAGTGGATCCCCACGACGCACCGGATTATTATCGCGTAATCAAGGAGCCAATGGGTAAGAACAAATGATACCAATTGTTTATGTATGGATTTTTTTTTTTCAACCCTGGAAAATGTCCAATGTGTCTGCCTCCCATTGTGGAAGGTACTAGTTGGGAATTTCCCTAAGCTGATGAAATGATTCAGTTAAAAAGATTTTAAAAAATGCTTCCCGTACTGTTTATTTCACTGTATTTCGTAATGTTGGAAATGTTATGCACATAAATATGAAATAAAAACTTCTCTTACACATTTCTCTCTCCCTTGTAGACTTTTCCACAATGGAAACCCGTTTGCAAAAGCGACATTACCACAAGCTCACAGAGTTCGTGGCCGATGTGACCAAAATCTTTGACAACTGTCGCTATTACAACCCCAACGACACGCCCTTCTTTCAGTGTGCCGAGGTGCTTGAAGCCTTCTTTGTACAGAAGCTTAAAGGTTTCAAAGCGAGCAGGTAAGGTCAGGTGCTCCCACTACTGCAGACTCTCAAGGGCCCCACGTTTCTTTCTCCTTTTCCATGCTCATGTTTGTGTGCTGTGAAGCTTTGACTCTGACCACACTGGCTGTCATGTCAGTTTCATTTGTTCTTTTCACTTTTTGTTTAGACCACTGGCATGTCTCGTGTTATATAGTAGACTGTGCTTTACCTGTAAATTAGAGTCTGCTTGAAACTGTCAAATAATTTGAAGGGTTGCTCGGCTGTACTAAAACCAACAGAGCTGATGAACGATAAGACATTAAGCCCAATGTCTAATAGAACTTAGTGCCATGTTACATCTGTATCGTGTTTCATCTTGCATTTGTGTCTGTTCCCCTTTGCTGCATGCCTTTTGATTTATGCCATCCCATTTTCTTCTTTCTTACAGATTGTCAGATTCTTAAGTGGGCCAGTCTAGCTGGAGTCTGGACTGGATGCTGGGGTCTCTAGTAATAATGACACGGGAACTTTCTATTTCCAGAACAGTAAAAATATTGATCACTAAAGAAAAGAATAACACGAGAACAAACACCAAATGTGCTTTCATGTGTATGCCTCCAATTGAACATTTTTGGTAACCATTGTAATATTCAGTTTAATCACAGAATGGCAGCCATGTTGACGTGTTCATCATGTCATTGAGGGACATGCTTTCTTCTCATCGTTTCCCTAAATCGGGCCATTTCTAACAATCCATCCCAGTAGCTATGATGTTTTCAGTGGGATTTTAAATGCATTTTAGGTTCCTAACTTGGATCTATTTTCTGTCATACATCTCAGTTGGATTGGATTATGTGTTGACCTTACCAGTTATAAAAAAGAAAATATAAAGCTGCATATTTTATTATAGAGATATTTATGAGAGGTTTTGTATGTTACATCCCTTTGAGTTTGATTTAACTGGTTGTTAAGATGGTTGTCTTGAATGTACAGACGTTTTATCATGTACAGTGGTTGTACGATGTATCTGAATCTGTATTTGAATGTTTTAAATAATTATGAAGCAAATCGTTTTAGATAGTATTATTTTATGAGACTAAAATGTAAACCTCATCCTGTTCCCCGCGTCACAAAGTAACCTCAGTTTGTAGTTGTGGAAGATCTCTTCAATAATAAAGGCATTCCCAGTAAATGACACCAACACGGCTGCAGGATCCTCTGCCGACCCCTTTGCATCGTCTGTCTGTCTGTCTGTCTGTCTGTCTGTCTGTTTCTGTCGATGTCACAACAAGAAACAAAATGCGAAGGGCTCTCAACTTTCCCTTCTCTCCGTATTCTGTAGGTCTCATAACAACAAGCTACAGTGTTCTTCGGCCTCTTAGAAAGCGTCGCACATTGCTCAAACAAAATGCACTTGCCAAGAATATGGCTTTTCTGAACTGTAACTCTGTGACAGACTCTGCCTCATCCTGTGTTTGGGATCTGCTCCTCCTGACTGTCGGTGCAACCAGCACTGCTGCTTTCACAGAACTGTTCAGGCAGAGCTGCCTTCTGCCCATTTGAGCTCTAAGGGACCTTTTTTTGGACCTGTCTTCATCAGTGGGACTGTACTGAGGAGGGCAAACAACTGAGGCATTTCAGAAGAAAGTTTACCTCGGAGGAAAGACTCTTAAGGAGCTCTCATATTTCCATGGTCTTTATTTTTTTTTTTTATCTCAGTCTTTTTATTTTATTTTCTTTCTTGTTAAAACCCCCCTCAGGCCATCTTTGTGGTCATCATGTCCAATGAGAAATAGGAAATTGAATACTGACATACAATGGCTGAGCATAATGTATCAAGAGTTTTGTGTTTAAATTCAGATATCACAGTGGAACAACTTTTTCTCTCCCATTTCCACTCATTGTTAAGTCTGAAGTAGCATGAAAGACAGTTGTACTAAATATCTGGACATCGGTAGTCTGCTTGGTTAAACTTCTATAACCTACTGAAAGTACGTTAATAAGCTATTGTAAATGATTTGCTCCGCAGTAGTGACTGACTGAGAAGGATGAAACAATGTATTTGAAGTTTCCTGCCCTGTTTGTAAAAATTTGTCAGATTTTGACTGGATTTCTTTTTCTTTTTTTTGTATTACATCTGAAGAAATATTGATGTATATGGAACTTAATAAAATGGAAAAGACTGATTCCTTCCTTATGCATTTGTGGTGAAAGCAACACATGGGAGTATAAGACAATTGTTTGCATATACATAGCACATCACGAATTGTGATGTAAAAGTAGGCACAGTATAAAAACAGATTAAATTATAATAGATAAAGAATTAACAAAACATTAAATTTGCTTCACCGTGTCTTCAAGTTAAGTGGTGGTTTTGGTTACAGACTCTAGAAGTGCATAAAACCCTTACATATAAATTGACGGATGTCTGAAATTATTGACGCTGTTCTTGTTTCATGAATATTTCCATATCAGATAAATACATTTTAGTCACCACCCATGCTGTTAGTAGTAAGAGCGGATATAACCATGTGGCCTACTCAGAAAGATGTATATTTGCCAAAGTAAAAGCAAAGACATTTTGAAGCGGCAGCAGCTGAAAAACAGTTGTAATTTCAGGTTTACAAAATGGACATGAAAGACCTTTACATTAACTTAGGAATTTGGTACATGGGTGTTTTATTTAAAGCGTGGATATGAGGTCTTTTCGTTTCATTATTTCCGTCAAGGATTACACTAGAAGAGAAATGCACCGATCAGGGAACAGTTCATTCCTCCCAAATGTGTGCTGAAAAACATGGACTGTATATAAGAAAGACGGCAGAACACTGATCCCGAGTCAGATTAAACACGAGCGTAGATCTCGCGATGTTACCACGAAGTGACGACATTTCCTGTGTGCGCTGATTTTTTTTTAAACAGGCCAATGAACGGAGGCGGCTGGATGCTTTCGCTCGAACAGCCCAATCAGGAGGCTTTGTTGCAGGAATTTAAAGGTCTGTGCGGCACTGTCTATGTGCCACAACCTTTGTGCGAGGATCAGGTAAGAGTCTGCGAACTGCGTCTTACTACTACTGAAAATGTGCGTTTTGTATATTTTTCTGTGTGGTGCTTACTGTATTTCCAACTTGTGCTAGCTGGTAGTGTGTCTATTTAAATGTGAAACCGGCGGTTTCCTCAGCCTGACATGTTTGTGACATTCACGAGGCAGTTCAAAGTTAGTGATACCGGCAAACTCTTTTAAAACTTTTTTTTATTTTTGCAGAAGTAATAAGTTACCACAACACTTCCCTCTCTTGCTGCTGCTAAGCTTCCCTGACACTTGAAAATGTCTGAGAACGTTGCACGTCTGAACAAGTTCAAGAACAAAGGCAAAGACGCAAATGTGAGTTTACGCGAACAAGTTGCGTTTAGCATATTGTCTATATGGCTGCTCAGGGGTTTCAGTTATAAATGTGTGACTTGGTTTTATTTTAAACAAATGCAGGAACTTCGACGTAGGAGAGTGGAGGTGAACGTCGAGCTCCGCAAGGCGAAGAAAGATGATCAGATCTTCAAAAGAAGAAATGTGTCTTCATTTCCTGAAGACGAGGCGACTTCACCTCTTCAGGAAAGAACCCAGAACTGTCAGGTAAGCCAAAGACATTTAAATTGAGAATGTTTACTCCACCTCCAATGTACACTAAGTCCTGACCCATTCTGACAATTGGCAGGCCTTCAGACAGTGGACCGTTGAGGAGATTGTCACAGGAGTGAACAGCGGTAATGTTGAGTCTCAGCTCCAGGCTACACAGGCTGCACGGTAATAATTCATAAACTAACATTGTACATTAGTCATTCTACATTGGCACACAACTCAAAAATGACTGACTGCCACAATGACTCCCTTCTAACATGCTGTCATGAATGCAGGAAGCTACTGTCTCGTGACAAGCATCCTCCCATTGACCAGTTGATCAGCGCTGGTCTGATCCCCAAGTTCGTCGCCTTCCTGGGGCTGATGGACTGTCCCCCAATCCAGTTTGAGGCATCCTGGGCTCTGACCAACATTGCCTCTGGCACAACTGACCAGACAGCAGCTGTTGTTGCGGGTGGGGCCATTCCTGCCTTCATTAGCCTGGTCACATCCCCCCACCAGCACATCAGTGAGCAAGCAGTCTGGGCCCTTGGAAACATTGCTGGTGACTGAATTTTTTTCATTTTATTTTTGTGTGTATTCATGACTATTTAGTTAGAAGCAAAGGACATGAGTTTAATATTTTATTTGTTGCGGGGTTTTTTTTAGGTGATGGATCAGCTCTTAGAGACAAGGTCATCAAGCATGGCGCTGTGGCCCCTCTACTCAGTCTGCTGGCAGTCCCTGACCTTTCAGTATTTAATGTAAGTATTTAAAAAGTCAAGTTTAATCCTCATGTAAACAATTTTCTTGAAATGGCCAAATGCAATCATTTATTCTCCGTATTGCACACTAGAGGTTGCCCTTACTCAACCAAATGCAGCTCCATGTTGAACTAATGCCTTCGCTTCTTATATTTGTCTATATTTGGTCTTTGCAGACCGGCTACCTGAGAAATGTTACATGGACGCTGTCAAACCTCTGCCGCAACAAGAACCCCTCCCCTCCTATGGCTGCAGTCCAACAGATCTTACCTGCTCTCATTCGTCTTCTACACTGTGATGACCGGGAGGTGTTGGCTGACGCATGTTGGGCTGTTTCATACCTGACAGATGGCCCTAATGACCGCATTGAAGTGGTGGTCAACACTGGCTTGATTCCTCGCCTGGTGAAGCTGCTTGGCTTTGAGGAGCTGCCTGTCGTTGTACGTATGCAGTTGTGTGTACATCAGTAGGGTGATTGTTCCTTATAACCTCTGTGCATAATTCATGTGGAGTGGTACATTGTGTCATCATGCTGGGGCAACTCCCCTGAGGTTGTGCAATGACCCTTCTCCTTCAGACCCCTGCGCTGCGTGCCATCGGCAACATTGTGACCGGTACGGATGAGCAGACTCAGGCTGTACTGGATTCTGGGGCCCTGAACATGTTCCACCAGCTGCTGCGCCACAAAAAAGCCAACATCCAGAAGGAGGCGGCCTGGACGCTGTCCAACATCACAGCAGGGAAGGACGGCCAAATCCAGGAGGTCATCAACGCAGGCCTTGTTCCATACTTGGTTGATATGCTTGTGCGGGTATGTAGTTTAATTAGAGGGGTGTGTGGTTGTTGGGCTTTTTGTTTGTGTTTTTTTTGGGGGGGGGTGGGGGGGGGGTGTCTGGCTGTTGAGTTTAATTTCAGCTTTACCTGTACACCACTGTCAAACAGATGGCTGCATTTCTTTAACCTTTCAGGTCATGTTTATGTTTATCATTCTCCTTTCTCTGCAGGGTGACTACAAAACCCAGAAAGAGGCTGTGTGGGCTGTTACTAACTTCACCAGTGGGGGCACTATTGAGCAGGTGGTTTACCTCGTTCAAGCCAATGTGATTGAGCCTCTTCTGAATCTACTCTCCTCTAAGGACAGCAAAACTGTCCTTGTCATTTTGGATGCCATTACCAATATCTTCATGGTGAGTGCATTGTCATGGGGGGGGGGGGGATCTGTTATCGGATCTGATAAGTTAAAATGTGATGTGCATTTTTCTGTCAGGCTGGGGATAAAATTGGGGAGGCAGATAAGCTAAGCCTAATGGTTGAAGAATGTGGTGGACTGGACAAGATCGAGGCTCTGCAGGCTCATGAGAATGAGATGATCTACAAAGCAGCCCTCAACTTGATTGAGAAATACTTCTCTGAAGAGGTAAGCATCTTTAAGATGTGTTGAACTGATTTTAAAAAAAAAAACAAAAAATTCTTGCTCATAAGTGGTCTTACTGTGGGGTTTTTTATAATTTTTTTTTTTTTTAAAGGAGGAGGAGGTGCAGTGTGTGGCCCCAGAAGCAACTGATGATGGTTATGCGTTCCAAATCAGTGACAACCAGAGCACTTTCAGTTTCTAGAAAACTTCTACCTCTACTCTCAACTGTACTGTACCTTCACTGTTTGTCCTTTGTTCATGTAATTGTGACTTTCTTTGTATGTATTGTACATACTGTTTTAACATAACTGATAAAACATGATTGTAAATAAAATTGTCAGATCGTGTGGGGGGGGTTGTTTTCACTATTACTTTGATCAGCTTATAGCATATCTAACTTTCTTCCTGCACAAGAAGCTGGGTTTCAGTAATTAATCTTATTGGCTGAAGGCCGTCATGTTTAAAACACGCAAAGTAGCCTGTTTTCACACTGTTATTTTTGTACAAAATGTCAGTGAGCTTTAGAGGTGTAAGTAAGCACATTTGTTAACTTTGGACAGAGTAAAGCTAGTTCTGTCTTTATGCTAATCTAATTGACCGCTAGCTTTTGCTTTTAAATGTAGCATGTATCCATTACAGTGTGAAACTGTTCCTTAACTTGGCTCAACTTCAGCCTAATTCTACGGGTTTTTTTCCATTGTCAAGACAGTAGATAACGTCTCAATTGTAAACTCCAGTTTGTATGACGTTCAAACTCATGGGTGTAATTTGTCAACCTTACTGGGTATAAAACGGGGCCATTAATGTTGGTAACACCTGTGCTTTTTCTATCATCACAAATTGTCTGGCATGAAAATTCCTATTGCACTAATCTGAATATTAATAACCAAATTTAAGAGCACACAAATGAAGTAGTTGTGGGGAAGGGTTAGAGGGTCTTAGAGTTGTGATGTGATTTAATCAGGACCTTTATTGCCAAGTGTTTTACACACGAGGAATTTGCTTTGGTAATAAGGTGCTACATGTAGACAAACATACAATTGATATAAGTAGAAATATATAAATATGGAATAAACAAATGCAAGTTATAAAAGATGGAGAAAAATACCACTATTTGCAGAGAAAGAACAATGTGGCAGGTGTTTACATATGCATTACTCCCGTTCATGTTGTGCAGATGTATTGCAACATAAGAGAATACTGTGTACATAAATATATAAATTGACAATATACAAATAGATTAACAGTTGACAGCATATATGTGCAATGTGCCAGGTTTGTGCATGATATGAAATCAAGTGAAATAATACTTGCATGCACAGACATTTGTAGTATTGAAAGGTGTGGGGGACCCAGGCGTTGTTAATAAGACTAGCTGTAGAATGGTAGAATTGTGGCTACGCCCCTGCAAAAACTGCCATAATCACACGTAGCTGTGTTTAATAATGCCATCAAAGTATAAACCTGTAATCGGGACAATTTATCACCAACTCAGAGACACACTGAGGTCTGTGTGTGAATTACAGTGAGGTGCCACATGTTGGAGAAATGTTTCACTCCCCCTGCATGTGTTGTCGTCACTGGTCAGCTCCTACCAGCAGCCTCCTGAAGTGGATCCGCACTGGAGGGCTCAACAGTTCAACTCTGGGCGAGCGGAGAGGACTCAGTCCGAGGCAGAGGCTCCTTCCGAAGATGTGAAGACAAGCACCGTGTTACAGAGCCGTAGTAGCTACTTCACACGTTTCACCGAGTCATTTGCAGTAAATGCACTTTGCTGCAGTCACTCGTGATTTTTCTTTTTCTTGTTTTTTTAAACGTTTTACATTTTGTGAGCAGTCGCTATGGCAGTTCAGTTCACATCCGGGCCACAATGCATTGACTCCATTATTGTCTAAAACTGGCGGAGAGGTTGATAAACCTAGTTTTTTTTTTTTTTTTTTTTTTTTTACACTTAAAGACTGATTTTTATTACGTGCGGTGAAGGCTGGAACCAAGAGGAGATGTCTAACCAAGGAGTCCGGCGGAATGGCCCTGTAAAGCTCCGATTAACAGGTAGCTAGCAATGCTTTTAAATCCCCAAGTATATTCCCCACACACACTAGCTAGGAAGGCTCGGTGTATTTGCTGGATGGGAACAGTTCCCATGGGCCATGGAGTTGGCTTACCGCCGGTTCTTTATCCAATGATTTTCACGGTTTTCTTAACAGCTGCAATGCCTTGTAAATATTAGTTTTTACAGTGTTAGCTAGTGTAGGGGGAAATGACAGAGTGGACCCGTACATAACGCCGTATATGGATATTATTGTTCTTGGAAGTAGTCTCAACCTTGTGATTGTCCCCAGTAACGTTAAGCACCAGCAGCCATAACATGGGTCCCGGAGTATCGTAGCTGTGTGTTGCTCTGCCATTTGGGTGGTTGTCGCTTGGTGAAACGAACATCTGGGACGATATCTCGCATGTGTATTTAACCTAAAGATATTCATATTTGCTGTAAGAGTGCTATAACTATCACACGGTTCTGCTGACAGACAGGCTCATAAAAAGTTGGCTAGCTGACGTTAGCCTAGCCAGCTAGCCACAACCAAGCCTTTATGCCAGAACAAGCCTCTGTTGAGATGACCGGCAGATCCAGAGGTCACAAGGGTCTGCAACTGCCTACTGACAGACAGCCGCCTCCTTTGATTGTCATTGTTGTTACAACAGGTCACCATTAAGTTATATTCCTGCAGGGGACCTGCATCCCTTTTATAAAGCAGCTCTTACTTTCACAATATGATCCACACTGGAAGTCTGGCCCTTCTTAGACAGCGTAATGAATGTGAAGTAACATGCCCTTGTCCTGGTATGTTTGGACATCTCCCAGGCTCTCTCCCTCAGCTGTTTGGTTTGTGCCTTTTCAACACAAACAACGAAAAGGTTTACATGAGAGCACACTATTTTGACTGGGAGAAGTGGTGGACAGCTGCCGTCTTTGATGTCCGTCCAGGATCTGTCCCGAATCAAACTCCGTGTCGGGAAGGGCCAAATTAAATATTTAAGCTGGTGCTGTTTCTGATAGGAATAAGTGGAGACAACAGGGCGGGATCTTAATGAGGTGGATTTAATGAGCTAGACTTGCAAGATGGCCAAGGACATCAAGCTTGGAGCAACATTTCTGTTGTTGTCAGAAGTCATTCAGGGTTCAGAAGCGCACAAGTGGATGTCTGTCTGGTGGAAATATTTCGCAAACCGATTTTGAGGGTTTTGCAACTAAATATTTGGATTGTCGTGACAGTTTGAATTGTGTTTGTCATGAAATACCTCATATAGGCATGGAGATATTGTGGACGGACAGGTCATTGGTCTCTTTCTTGTACAGCTGCACAGCATCAGATTGCGAGTTTCTGACTGCATGAAATTTCCAACCTGCTGGCCCTACTTGGTTATTTTCCTCATCATTCTCTTACTCCCTTAGAAACTTGTCACCACAAAAACAATTATTTTCAATTATTTTGTCGCGCGTTAACGCAGTTTAAAAAAACAAACATATTATGTTGAAAGTCCGTTGCTCACTGGCTCTGAATACACATACATTCAAACGGGTCACAGGAGGGGTGAGATGTTGATCAGCCTGCAAATCACCCACCCAAACAAGCAGACTATGATGTCATCGTTTTTCCGCGAGCCGTTATCACGGCAGCAGGTGAGCCGCTTGCTTGTTAATGATGCAGCCTGTCAAACAACTCAAACAACCGAAACCAACACCTGAACCCTGTGTTCAATGCTGCTTTAACGTTACCTGGCCCGTCCAACTTGTAACGTCATTTCATGTTGTTAACTAAGTGAAGTCTGTGCGAGTGAACACATGCACACAAGACGCCCCCCCCCCCTTGTTTTAAGAAGCTAGATAATAGGTAATGCCCTGGCAGTGGCAAATAGCTTTGGTTTAATAATTTATTTGATTATATTAATGTTTAAGTTGAGATTTACAAGAAATATTTTATTGCTACTGTGTAAAATGAAAAAGCACCTTATTTGTATAAAGTGTTTGCAAACCACATGTTATTGCATTTTTGTGTTCATAGCAGTACATTTAAATTAAAATTGCACAATACACTACATTAGAATTCATTATTCAATTTTGCGAGTAACTATGTGATTAATCGCAAGAAAATCATGCGATTAATCGCGATTAAATTTTTTTTATCGTTGCTCACCACTAAAAAAATGTTTATACCCAACTTTCGTGTTGAAATCTAGAGTCCGTTAGTTTGTCACGGCAGTTCAAGATGGACTGCAGTGGTCTCCTGGTGGAATGCTAAGAATGTGAGTCCACTTCGAAGGGACATAAAAAAACAAACGGAGATGGGAACCTCACAGACCAGCTCTCCTCTTGATGCTGAGTGACACTGCACACCCCTCCAGACTAAATATCCTCCCTCTCTTTTGAGTAATTATGTAATATTGTGCCATGACATCCACACCGTCAGCCCTGTCCCATAGCTCGGCGCACTGCGTTCCTCTTCAGGAGAGCAGTGGGAGGTCAGAGCATGAGAGGAAGCTCTATAGGAAGGCAGCTGTCTGGTGGTAAAGCCCAATTGCTGCACTTTTAGCAGAGAGGCTTCGCTACACACTGTCATTATGTGTTTTCTTTGTTCAGCACTGCACAGCTGTGTATACTAGGCCGGTTAGATTGCTGCATAGGGAGTAATGGGCCCGGAGAGCGTCATTGCGACATTGTAGCTGCATGTTGTCATCTGAAGTCAAGTTGATTTTTTTGACACGTAGCTGCAGATGAATTTGTTTCCAGGCAGGTTGTGAATGATGAGTTGCTACATTTAAACAGGCCTGTAGCTGTTTGTGCTGTAGGCGTCTCTCTGTGCTGACAACCCCCATGTCCATTTGAACCAGATGTTGCAGATGTTTGCCAGCTATTAAACTGGAAAAATATGGCAAGCAAGCTGCTAAAACTAACACTTGAGGTGAGAATTGCCCCTTTACCACACAGGACAGGTTTCCATTATACTCTACAGCTGATCACTCCTAAATTATGTGACACACAAACACAGCTAATGGCAGAACACGCGTGATCCACCGAGTCGGCATGAATGACATCAGCAGGGCACGGCTCATTGCTTCGTCTGATCATTCTTAAATTCTGTCATGCAGACATAGCTTGCGGTATAATTTGCACCACTTTCCATGCAACCGTAAATTTGATGACACGCAGCTGAATGCCAAGTCTTAGAGTTGCCTCTGATATGATTGAGACTCTGCAGAAAAGAGAACGCACGCCTCCAATCCGTCATGACTGTTAGTCACAAGCTGTCTTTCACATAGGAGTGAAATCACTCATAAAAATCAGTTAGTCAACGGCGTTCTGCCTTTGCCCTTCTGAATACGTTTTCTGCCCAGAAAGATGTGCAGCAGAATAATAAATGAACTGACGTTTGTTTGATTTTCTGGTCTGATTCAGATTCTTGACGTTTATTGCTGCTTTTGTCTTAGCTAGGGGTTTACATGTGACTTGTTAAGCATATGGTTTGCTCATCTGAATTCTTTGGCGCAGCACAGACTAGCAAAGAGAGGTATCTCAGTGGGATTCCCTAGAATTCTCCATTCGCATTCCCAGCTCTTCCTCTCTGAGTCACTCCTGTTCTTTCCGACTGTAAGCTTCTTCCCCCTCAGACCAAGTCCAAAGCATATTTCACTCCCACCCTCACTAACTGAGCTTCCTCCGCGTGCACTGATTCCCTTTCTGTCTGATGCACTCTCTTTAGGCAGTTGGGTGTCTTTCTTTCCATTTAATCAGCTGCTGTTGCAAATTAACAGGATTTGAAGCTGCTGCAGCCGAATAGGTGGGCCAGCACTATTATTTTTGGTTAAATAGTTGCACATTTTCCCATTTTACCTTGTAAGGTGACTGACAGCTGAATTGACACAGATGCTGCTTGAGAATAAAACAGACTTATTTTAAAGATGCAACAAAGGCCCTGGGGGTTTCATACTGGCCTGCTATGTGGCTTTGAGTGAAAGGCTTATGTCCTCTTTTTAGTGCGAGTCCTCGCTCTTTCAATGCAGCTTGGTCCCACTGTAGTCTACAGAAAGGGAGGGGGTCTTTGGATGTTGGATAATTGAAGAAGAAACCCACACAGCTGGGCACAGATGGGTCTGTGGAGGCACAGGACCTGATGATCAAGACCGTTTTAATGTGGTCTGAGTCAGTGCTGGGTACATTCATGTGGTCTCAGACAGAGCCATTTTTACAGAGTGGCTGTATGGAAGTGATTTGGGTTCATCTGGGTGTTCAGACAGGATACATTGTAAATACACAGTGATTAGCTGCATGTGGGGAACTGTTGACTCTGCTGGCCCATCATGGACATGCAGTTTGAGCCAGCATTTCCACATTTTGCTTTAACAAGATGCGAAAGAAAACAAATATAATGGCGGCAAAAGACCAGAAAAAGAAAAACAGGGGTGGGGCAATCACAGAGGGAATGTAACAAGCAATTATTGCACATCATTTGTAAACATTTTCCTTCCCCCTGCTGAGAGCCTCCCATAATTTTAAATTGTTCCATCAATTAATTGACTGGCCGGGGTTGGTTTTCCTGTTGCTTCAGCTGCTCTTCAACGAGGACAAAGCTTTCTGCGGTTGCTCTACCCTCAGCCGCCGCCAGCGACGGCCTGGAGGAGACCAGATGTAGCAGGGGGAGAGAGATTGGGCAGTTCCTTCGAGAGGAAGTGCTCCCCAGACCCGAACACTTGTCCAAACGTCACCCCTGACAGGTGGGGAGCAGCACAGTCCAGAAACCCCCTTTTGAGGTTCTCCTGTAATAATAAAGGGAAGAATTACTATTACTCAGCAGGACATTAGGCCTCTTGTCTCAGTCACTGTATTATAACAGCGTGCCATGGGTTTGATTAGTGGGCGGCATGTGTGGTTTGGGGAGATTGGCTCTTCCTGCAGAGTAGAGCATCAACACTTCAAAATGGCTGCTTTTGTAACATGAACAACAGATAATATTTCCTGTATCCACACATCCTGTTTCATTTGGAGCCTGAAAGAA